GACAGGAAGAATGAGTTGACAGCTGTCCTGCCAAGATTTCTATGCCCTGCTCCCTGCTATGGCCCATTCAGACAGCCATATATGAAATGTTCAGGTTTTGCTCTGTTGATTTGTGATAAAGACTGTAAAGAGATTCCATCTACCTTAACTTCACTTGAGCAACAGCTATAAAACCATTATTTCCATGTAGACACTGTTTGAAGCTGTTATATGTTTAAAGAGTCCTCTATGTTTCACTCTCCTCACTCAATATCCTCTGCATTTCTCCCACAAGAAAACTGAGCTTGGTAGATTGACCAAACTGCCTCAGATACCCGGATGCAAGAGGCATAGTGACTAGGGTCACTATGGCCTGGATTGTCTGTGCTGCTTCCCTTTGTCACCTAGTTGTGAGGGTAGGAAGGCAAAAGGCTGACACAGGGTGTCTCTGCAATGTGTCCTCATTAGTCAACTGAACTAAGGGATGAAGGGAATGAATCTGAGTGACATTAAAAAGTGGATATTTAAGATAGTACAAGTGGGGCATGGTGGCACAGGGTATAATCCCAGCTATCTGGGAGGCTGACGCAGAAGGTACTTTTATTTTTATGATTCTTGGTAAATGTAAACCATATTACTTTCAGTTCTGGGAGTAATGTTTCAAAGTACCTTTCTATCTGGGCATGGTGGTGCATGCTTCAAATCCCAGCACCTTGGGAGGCTGAGACAGGAGGTTGGCAAGTTTGAGGTCAGCCTTAGCAACTTAGCAACACTCTGTCTCAAAATAAAAAATAAAAAGAGCTTGGGATATCCCCAGCTCAGTGGAGAAGTGGAGAGCACCCCAGGTTCAATTCCCAGTGCTATCCCCACCCCCAAACCAGCCACAGTATGAAAATACCAGTTTCCTTAATGCACACACACACTAGTTTTGGGTATTTTATATATTATATATAGGTTATTTTATATATATAGAATATATATATGTAGGTTATTTTATTTATATATATATAGGTTAATTTTATATATATATATATATACATATATTAATTATATATATATTTGGTCCCAGGGATTGAACCCAGGGGCACTTAACCACTAAGCCACATCCCCAGCTGTTTTTAGACCAAGTCTCACTAAGTTGCTGAGGCTGGCCTTGAACTTGCAATCCAAACCCAGCATGGATATTATATTTTTAAAGGCTGCTAATTAATAGGTCAATATAATTCCTCAAGGTTTGTTTTTGTTTTTGTTTTGTGGTGCTAGGGATGAAATCAGAGCCTGCGCATACAGTTCATGCTCAATGCTTTTGTTTTTACAAAGAGATTTAACTTACATTTTTCTGGTCATTGAAATACTTTTCATTGTTCTTTTTGTTTTGTTTTTTGGTACTGGGGATTGAACGCAGTGGTGCTCTACCACTGGGCCATATCCTGGCCCTTTGTATTTTTATTCTGAGATGGGGGTCTTGCTAAATTGCTTATGGCCTCATTAAATTGCTGAGGCTGGCCTCAAACTTGTGATTCTCCTGCTTCAGCCTCCCAAGTTGCTGGAATTACAGGTGTGCACCACTGCATTATCCAGCTCATTGTCTGTTCTTTAATTGGAACTATGTTTATAGTTTGCTAAATATCCAAGTCCTTTGTTCATTTGTTGGGACATTTGCATTTTTAATCAGCTTACATAAGTTCATTATAAAATAAATATATCAACTCTTTGTATATTTGTATTTGTTGCAAAATGTTTGTCACTCTTTTATTTTTTTTATCTGCCACTCTTCAGTTTGAGGTGTATAACTTTTTCACATGAATGTTCTGTGGTTTTATGGAACTGAATATTTAAGTTGGGTTCCAGGCAATATTGCTTTGTTACTTCTTTCTCCTGTGTAAACTTTGAAAAGTTGCCCTCTTCTACAATTTTACTGACAATTAATTCTGTTTTCATTGCTATTATTTAATTTTTATATTTTGTGTTTTTGAAATGGAGGTCTCACTGAGTTGCTGAGGCTGGCCTCAACCTTGTGATCCTCCTGCCTCAACCTCCCAAGTTGCTGGGATTACAAGTGTGCATCACTGCGTCCAGTTTAGATTTTGTTAGTTTTTTTTATAAACATTTTTTTTTTTTTTTGCAATTGAGAATGACATCCTTTTACATTACATTTTCTAACTTTATTGTGAGGAGAGAAGAACACGACTGATTCTGTGTGTTTTTTACCTGCTCTTTGTGGACTCCAATGGCTGTTCAATTGTCCACTTTGGAGTTTCAAGGTATGCAATATTATCAGCGAAGTATAGCAATTCAGTCCATTTTTTTCCAATGCTTTTACATCTTTGTTATGTTTGGGGGCAATGTTTTAAAAGCAACAGTAAATAATCACGGGGAGAGGAGATGTTAAATAATATAACCATGTGTTTACTGTGATCCCCTGACTATATTAAAAAAAATATGATGTTGCATACCTATAATCCTAGTGGCTCAGGAGGCTGAGGCAGGAAGATCTCGAGTTCAAAGCCAGCCTCAGCAACTTAGCAAGGTCCTAAGCAACTCAGTGAGACCCTGTCTCAAAATAAAATATAAAAAGGGCTAGGGATGTGGCTCAGTGGTTAAGTGCCCCTGAGTTCAATCCCTGGTGGTCCCCACCCACCAAAATGTGTAAACTTATATTAGCCGGATAGGTGTAAGTAAGGCATATGTCCCTGAGTGGCAGAATTCAGTTGAATCTACCTTTTCTTTTCATTTATACACATTTTTGACCATTGTATGAAGTTCATATATTATTTAGGCAATTTAAAAAACAATGGCACTCTAAGACTTTTATTGTGTTACTTTTGGGTGAATTATGTTGGCTGTGGGTTTAAGCAGCTGTTCTTTATGTGTTGAAGATACTTCCTACCTTATTTTTAAGTTTTTTTTTTTTTAAACTGAGAACTGGGTGTTGAATTTTGCCAAATGATTTTTTTTGGGCAGCTGCAAAAATGATCATGGTTTCTGTTTTTTTTTTTTGTAGCTGAGATATAGTTTCCATAAGATAAAACACAGAGATCCTGGCTATATGGTCTGATATGTTCTCAGCGTCATCTACACCCCTGTAACCACCACTCCAAGTAAGAAAGGGAACATGTCTATCACCCCAGAAAGTTCTGTGAAAAATTCTGTGGTAAGCTGTGGATTTGGGGTGGACCAGCCTTATGCATCTAATGTCTTTCAGGTCTGGAGTCACTTGTGAAGTCCCTGCAGGCTGTCCCATCTGGGCTCCCCTCCAGCTGTTCATCAGATAACTCTGGTGTCATTAGGGAGCCAGATCCTCTGTAGAACAAGTGGCCATGGGGAGGGGGATATAAAACTGCCTTCTGAGGAACAGAGAGGGTAACAGCAGTATTTGGAAGCTTTTAGTGACCTTATGTTTAAATGGCATCTATGACGAAAAGTCGTTTCTGGGTGTCACTGAAAGGTTGTGATGGGGAGGGGAGGATGGAGTAGACGTGGTGGGGATAGCATCCCTGATGCCACAACCATGGGAATCTGCAGGCCCCATGTCTTGTGTGCTCACTTGTTGATAAAGTCAATCACCACTTTCTGGAATCTTCTTTTTTTGGAGCACCCTTTCCCTTTGACTGGGTTGTTAGCTTGTTCCATTGTCCATTCAGAAAGCTCGCCACCCTCACCCTATGTTAATCTCCTTGTGTGTTTTGCGGATCCCTGGTCTCTGCTGCCGTTTATGGAATGACACGCAGTGTTATTTACTCAGCTTAGTGTATTTTAGTCAATAGGGAAAACATGGAAATACGTGTCTGTATTTCTATCGGCTTAATATTGACATGTTGATTGGGTTTTAAATAGTTCAATAAATGCTTGATCATAAGCATAATGTGTTCTGTTGTCTGTACACCTAGAGTAAGAAGTCCGCAGAAAGATGATTTGCAATTCCCTGAATCAAAAGGCTAGAGGCTCAATTTGTTGTCTGAATAAGGTCCAGACTCTTCTATATAATTTCTGTAGTGTGAAATTCGAGTAACACAAATAATCACTTGGTACCGGGAATTGAACCCAGGGGCACTCAATCACTGAGTCCCATCCCCAGCCCTTATTTTGTATTTTATTTAGAGACAGGGTCTCACTGAGTTGCTTAGTGCCTCACTGTTGCTGAGGCTGCCTTTGAACTGGCGATCCTCCTGCCTCAGCCTCCTGAGCTGCTGGGATTACAGGAGTGCACCACTGGGCCCGTCTCTGTTTATGAGTCTTAAGTGACCCAGGTAAGTGCCTTAGGCAAATGGGGGTATGCCAGGAGCCTCGACCCAGACTGTAGCCAGAGATTAATCCAAACACAAAACAGCAAAGGTATTGGTGTGAGCGACAGTTCTGGAGCAGGCTTCCTCCCACAGTTTTCGATACAAACGTCAAACAAGAGCTATGTTTTCTGTGCTGTGGCGCCTACATCACTAAAATCAATTTAGACTTCTATTTCTAGCAGATGTCAAACTTGGATTATTTTTCCCTTTTTTTTAAAGATAAAAATCTGAAGCTATTTAAAAATCTGTATCCAACCGGGCTTGCACTGTTCTCAGTATGCAGTCTGTAACAACCGTGGCTTGGAGGCTTCCAGAATAGACCCCAGGAGCCTGGGATGTGCTTCTCTTGGAGGGAACAGGAGCTGTCCCTCTGCCCCTAGGACTTTAGAGGGAAGATTTGTGAGTCTTACCTGTGTAGAGGAACTCTATAGGGGCCTTTAGAAATTGGACTATCTGCTGGACACAGTGGTGCCCACCTATAATCTCAGTGACTAGGGAGGCTGAGGAAGGAGGATCGCCAAGTTCGAGGCCAGTCAGCAAAACTTAGGGAGACTCTGTCTCAAAACAAAAATAAAAAGGGACTGGGGATATCAGTGATAGAGTTCAACCCCCAGTACTGACAAAAAAAAAAAAAAGTAAAATAAAAAGAAAAGAATCTGGGCCACTTCTCTTCTACTAACCCTCGTGTTGTTTGTCCCCAAGCTGTTTGGCCTGCAATCTGAGGAGACAACTGCCTTTTCATGTTTTATACATTTTATTCATACATTTCTCCAACTTTGAAATGACAAAAGCCCAATTCTATGGTTTCCCATTACACAGCATCCTACAGGTATGGATATTCTACAAAGAATACTATGGAGTTTCTCTTCTTCCCCTGTCACACGAGATAACTGATTAGGGTTTCGACTTGTACTGTGCTGGTGGCACACCAGCGTTGTGGTTGCTCCGGCGACAGGGCAAAGGGATCAGGACGGGAGGGCGTGTGCTAAGGCATGTAAATAGATACACACAGAGAGAAAGAAAAGCAGGACATTTTACAAAGCATCCGAACCTTTCCAATCCCTTCAGTTCCTCTGGCGACCCTAAGGCTTTGCTGAACCCCGCAAATACTTACAATTGGATACGGTGAAATATACAACAACCATTAACATCTCTCTCTTTTTATCACTGAGACAATACTTCAAAACCTTTTATAAAAAGGCAATAATACATACAGAAAAAAGAACACGTTGGCAAAACTATGCAAAACCACCCCAGAACTGAGTTTGAGTGGTGACACTCCTCCAGGCAGCCACCCGCCTGCCTGCACGGACATTCTGGGAGACAGCTGAGGCTGGAAATCAGTGCCCCCAATTCTTGGTCTCTTTCAAACAAGAAAAAAAGAAAAACGAAAGTGGAGCCAGTGTCTGTAAAGGAACACGTTTCTCTTCCCAAGCACAATTCCTTCTACAGAGATTGTACTTCCCCAGGGTCCAGAGAGGCTCACCCCAGGCCTCCGTGGGTAAGGACATTGGCATGTTCCTTGGTCACACCAGAGACAATGGAGCTAAGTCCAAGCACTAACAAAGTTCTGAGTTTCTGTGCGAACATGGATATGGAGTTGTGCTTGGGACCAGAACAGAGGTCTCCCATGTGGTTGTAAATCTCTCTCTCCATTTTCTTTTGCTTGGTCCATTTGCACAGGTTCAAGGGAGTTGATGGAGGGTCAGGTGAGAGGTGGTGGGAACTCAGGATTTTCTGCCCCCCCACCCCCACCACTGACTCCCCACAAAGAGCTAAGACTTGGGAGTGCCTGCTGCAGAGATGGTACTGCCCTCTTGCCATGGTGGTATCTGTGGGCCAGGAAAAGATCAAATGGGAAAATGGCAGAGAAAAGACTCTCCTCCCTTTCCTCCACTTCCTGCAAGGACATGACAGCTACACTTCATGCACTAAGTTCTGCCATCTGAGATGTTCCATGTGTCCAAATTGATGGCAAACTGACCAGTGCACAGGCCAAGCCAGTCCTGCATTAAGCCTCATGCATATAGTCCTGTAACCGGAGATGGACAGAGATGCAGAAGTGGTTTCTAAAGGGATCAGAAAAGGGAAATCTCTACCCAATGAAATGAGTCACAACTAAAGTGTGTAGCCCTTCCATAAGCCACAGCGAGAAGCAAGGAATCTTTGGAAGAGAAGAATGAATCTCAAGTGCAGGACAAGAGAGACGCGTTTAGGGGCCTTAAATCGGTTATAGGCCACAGTGAGCCTCAGCACAGTAAGCCCTTGCAAAGACAATGGACTTGGGAGACTGTGCTGAGTTCTGAAACAACACCACCACCAACACCACCAAATACGCACAGGTTTAATATTAAGAATTGACCCATCAAGCAGTTTTCCTGGTTGCTTGAGCAGCAAGATAAGCTTACCTTCGCTCCAAGTTAAGACACTGACCTGAAATGATAATAAAGGACATGTCATCAGTGGGAGACCAAAGAGTGCTTTGGGCTGCCTTGTTCTTGAGGGGCGGTTTCCACTCTGGGCATCTCCAATGGTCCAGTTTCCTGGAGGGTGACTCCATCGACTAAACTTTTGCAAGGAATGAATTGGAAGCCTGAATGAAGTAAGAACTAGGAGTGATTTCAAAAGAAACCAAAGAACGCTGAGATCAAAGGCTTTAAAAAGGTAATAGCTTCAGAGGAAGGCCGTGGGAGAAGGAATTGGACACAGGGAAGGGGACAGATTCTGCATTTCTTCGTGCAGTGGGGAACTCTGCACATCTCTAGATATTCTGCCACCAATAAGATGGGGTGATGGCTTCTGAATGCAAATAGCAAGAAGTAGGTCAACCATTTCTTTTCCTCTCTGAGCAGATATTTCAAATCATCTCACCTGACAGGAGATACATTTAATTGCATTTTTAACAAGCGACAATGTTATCTTGACACTGGGAAACTTCCAGATGAATTCAATTGAATGCCACTTTCCTTTTCAGTGTTAAAATGCAATATGCTACATGTGCAAAGGAATGACTGCCTTATGATTAGGAAAATCAGGACATTTCATTTTCTTAACAAAGAACTCGACATGTCAAAACGCTCCCTTTCCTGCTGTGGGGAGTGGGGTTGCGTAGGGGAGAGGACCCTTGGAATAGGGCTCTCCAATGCTTCAACTGACCACTGATAAGATTTAGCAATCAAATCACTTGCTCTGGTTTTCAAAAAGGAAACAAAAAATGGTCTGCGGATGGGATGGAGGCAGGAAAGAAGTTTTAGGAATTTTCTGATTGTTTAGTGGACGATTGTGACGGAGCAGCAACTCCGAATTCAGAAATTGAAGGATGTTCTGCTAGGTCATAAAGACACTGCTCCAGAAGATGGCTGCCTGTGCCCTTCTTGGAGCATGCAGAAAGCAACCAACAAGAGGACAAGTCGTATGGTGCCTTTCCACGGGGGGATCACTGATGTTTGAGTTGCCCTCCCTTTTCTTCTCCTTGGCTTAATCCACATTTAGTCACATGGTGGATGGCTTCCAAAGGGCACTGTCAACAACTCTGGAGATTTGGTCTCTAAGGGCAAGTGGGGGTGTGAGAGTTTCCACCAGAGGGAAGAAAGTTGCTTTCCCATGTGTTAGTTGTATTCTTCTTTGTGCTTCATTGGAAAAGAGGTAGAGCGGGCACCTTGACATTGAGAAGAGCCCGGATTGTAGTCAGTACCATTGCAGGAATGGCTGTCTGGCCTTGGCATCAGAGTGAAATCTGTCTTAACACAGGCCTATACGACTCTTTGAGCATTTCTCTCTCCATCTAGGGGAGCCCACTGTTGAGCTTGTCTCTGGTTTACCTGTTTGGTCACCCCCACCGTAGGGCCCAAACACAAGGAGTTCACTCAACAACCTGTTAGTAAGTTGTCGACTCATCCGGTCACTGACAAAGAAGGATCATCAGAAAAAAAAAAAAAAAAACAAAACCAAAAAAACCAACAACCAATTGGCATCTTTAATAACAGTAGGTGAGGGGTGGGGTGTTGACCATGTAAGAGGAGTCTATAAAAACTGCCTTTTCTGTTCGGTCCCTTAAGAGGAGCTGTTCAGCTCAGAATACACCCCGCACATCCTGCCAAGGCACAATGTGACAGAGGCCATCTAACCTACAAGAAGCAAAAATGATGGCGTGTTTTCAAGAATCCCAGGTTAACCTAAGCGCTTCACACCCTCACGTGCTAAGGAAAAACATTCTACTGACCTCTGGCAGGGTCTGGGAACCCCCAGCCCGAATGTCCTGTATTAGAAGAATGTGACCTCGTGGTGGGGTGATGAGATGGTGAATGTCTCTAAAAGCAACAAGGACAGATGATTCCCCTGTGCCAAGGGATATAGCAAGAGGAAGGAGAGACCACAGGTAGCCCTGCGAGTCAGACGCGGTCCACACTGTGCCCTGGCAGGTGGCTGTTTCTGTCCTGCCGACTGATACTCACTCCTGGGCCTTCGATGGGTCCATGAGCATCTAATGAATTCTAAAATTGAAAAGATCATCGGCTTGGAGGCCTAAACAACTCTATAATGAAATGAAGGACCCAAAGGCATTTAATTATTGAACACATAAAAGGAAGTATATTTAAAAAAAATTGGTCAGACTGTCCTGTTAGTTATCATTTTAAAGGAATTTACAGGGCTGTTATAGATTATTCTTTTGGAATAATTCAGTTTATAGCAAACGCCTAAACTGGTTTCTTCATTGCACAGTATTTTCTCTTAAAATGGGTGCTTTTAAAACAATTACATACAGATTAAAAATCCTCATTTCTTTGCTTAATTAAAACGTTAATACTCTTAGACAACACAGATCCGAAATGGTGAAACCAGCAAATTCCCCCTCCCACCTTACAACAAATTAAATTGAGACAAAATTACAAACACATTTCACTACATGATTATTATTAATAAAAATCAGTTTCTTTTCTTTTTTTTTTATAAAGTTGCCCGAAATGCAAGGGATGTGCATAGGTTTACAACTTAGTCATAATAGCATTTTATTCTTATTCTCCTGGGTGTGCCCCGTGAACGGAAAGTACTTGGCTGTAGATTACAGATTGATTTGTCCAACACAGACACACCAACAGCATAAACGCTCGCGACTGTCCACATGCATTAAGAGTCAAGACCCAACTTCAAATCTCTAAAAGGTTTACAGGGTGCTTCAAAGAGACAGTATCACATTATCTGGATGTTACATAAAGGACTTAAAAAAAATACTATTCTAAAAAAAAAAAGAGAGAGAGAGAAAAAAGGCCTTTAAAAATTTATGACTGTTTTGTAATCACTAGACTAATTATTTCAAATAAATAAAGGAAAGAAAGATATTCCAATCCATAAAATCAGACTCTAAAAAGAATGTAGTGTTCCACCCCCAGTCAAGGTAACAGAATCATTGTTTATTATTATTAAAATAGATTATAGAAAGCAGCATCTATTTTGTGCAGTTTTTAGGGGCCTTGGAAATAAAAAGCTATGATTTCCAAAAATATAACATTCCAAAGGATTGAATAATACATACATTTAAAGATACATTTTATTAAAGTTTAGGAGAACTGATTAAAAAAGATACTGTCTCTTTAAATTAGTGTGTAATTGTTTTTCTCCTCCTATCTATTCGGACATGACAATAATTATAAATGTAGGTCACACTACAACTAGGTAGTCTCTAGGGACCACGACCTGCTGACACAAGGCCCATGACAAAGAGGCTTTTCCATGTATGAGGTGGCTCCCAGTTATGCTCAGATATCTGGGGATGGGCCTAATAGACCCAGGAGACCGGGACCCACTGCGGGGCTGTGCACACGAGCTCAACGGCTTCCTCCAGATGTCTGATTGTCTCATCAATTTCATTGTTGATAATTGTGAGATCGAAGTAGTGCGCGTATGTTCTCTGTAGGATATCAGACTCCTTCTGCAGGCGCTGGAGAGATTCGTCCTAGAAGAGGAGCGTGGAGGAAGGGCGGGTGTGGGAGAGGGGGAAAGCAAACAGAAGATAGGAGTCAGTGGGATTCTTTCTCTTTTCACCTGTTTTTGCTCATCCCAGTGTCAAGCCGTCAAGGCCCAACCTTGATGGGCTGCATCTGGGCATGAGGCCAGGATGGGACCACGACACAGGAGGCCACCATCCCTGGGACAGCAGGAACTCCTGCTGGCATCCACAAGTGCTTGACATGCAACAGGGGGCTCCATGACAAACCAGACAAAATGCACACTCTCCAGCAAACGCACTGGCCCCCAGGCCTCGCTGTGCCTGTCCCGGGTCGGTCAGGGCGAGGCCCCGCGAGGTGTGGGTTACCAGTGGCTTCCGTTCTTTCTTCCCTCCGCTAACCCATCCTCACATCTGGCACAACTGCTCTTGATCCCCATCCCCTTGGTCCTTGAAGCTCCCTTGAGCCACGCTTTGGGGACCCACCTGCATTTGCACCAATAAGCCCTGTCTATGGATGACAAATGAAGTTGCATTTTTTTCCTTTTCTACTAAAGGTTCAGCATGTTTAAAAAATTCAATTATGTATAATGGCCCTGACTTGACAGCATCAGATGCCAGAGGCAAAAGCTTTTTGGATGTTACAAATAATGGCTGGAATAAGGCCATTTTCCAAATAAAACAGCAACTGGCATCTGATGAATTCCCCAAGCTGGTCTGCATTGGAAATGACCCAATGCCACTGTTCGCATGTAGTTATATTTCTCACGAAAACAACTCTGGAGCAAAGCTACTGAACTCTAGGCAGGCTTGCTGTGGTAAAGGATGTCCCCTAAAGCAGAGCTTGCTACACATTTTGACAACCTTCACCAGGCTGAGCCATGGCAGGAAGGAATTTAGGGTCTCAAATTCGTCATGTGAAAATGGCTTTTTGCTGGCAGTTCTTTCAAGACAAGGATCTCTTAAGGGCCACCATTAAGAGATCCTCCATTATCTTTCATTATCTTCACAGCACAAGTATGTTATACTGAACTCTCCAAGGCCAAGTTCAATTGAAACTAGAGGACTTTATGAGTCAAATAACCACACCTACTCTCCCCTTGCACTGGATGAACACTGGGTAGGTGAACTATCTGCCTGAGTTAAAAAAATATATTGAAAATGTATATTATTTGATATAAATATCTGCTTATTTCATTAATTTCCTTCTTCCCAATTAGGGCATAAACTTGTCTCCTGTGTCTGTCATTACTGTGCCCAGGCATGAAGCCTTGCACACAGTTGTTGCTTAATAAACACTGTCAAAGGAACAAGCACCTGGCTGATAACTGATCATCACAGGATTTTACAAGTAATAAGTCTATTATCAAGGGACTAAGCAATTCTACTAAGAAAGGGGTGGGGGTCTGGGGTAACAGAGGCAGATCTCCAGAGAAAATAAAAGATGCTGGGATCCTTGAGGGACCCAGGAGCTATAGGTGCCCAGTAGTGGCTTAGGACCCCCTCTCCTCTTCTCTGAGGCCCCTCTATTATTTATAATAAGCTCAATGCAAAAATGCCATTTTAGGAAACCTGCATTTACCCAAAGACAGAAGCACTTCCCACCAGTATAACAAGGAACAATTCCTATGAAGTCACTGTCTGTGTTTATTAGGAGATTCCATTTGACTATACAATCCTGGGCTTCAAAAACTGCTTGCAGGGTTTATATTTTGTTCAGAAAGTGGGGCTGAGGAAACCATTCAAAAAAATGTGTGGCTGAGAGTGTCAGCTTTTTGATGTAGTTCTCTTTATAGGAAAATAAAACTCCCTCTTACAGATCTTTTAAGATGAAGCTCTATTTTCCAGTTTCTTCCTTGACAACAGCTTGTCTGCATGCTGGACTCACACGTGAGCAAGGTTCAACTCAGTGAAAACAAATGCCTTTATTCTAATAGCAGAAAGCAAGGATTCGTGGGACCCAAATGTCTACATTCTACATCTATTAAAAGGAACAAAGGCTGTACTTCATCACCTCCTAGCTGGTACTTACAGGCAATTTTCTGCACCATTTTGGCAGCTATGGAAAATTAGTAACAGGGCAGGAAAACAGGCAAAACAAAAAAACAAAAACAAAGCAAAGATGATAATTCAAGAAAAACACATGGTAACCAAAGGATAAACGCTAACCACAATGTGGATTTCAAACATGCTTGTGTATGAATCAGATGGGAAAGTTGAATTTTACAAAGGAACGTGCCTTTTGCAAATGAAATGACCAAAAAAAAAAAAAAGATGACTGAAAATACGAGTAATAAAGTCCATCTAAAGATTTAACCCTCGTTAAAGGTACACAAAGTGTGAATTCCTAAGCCTTGATTTAACTGCACTGTATGCTTGGGTGATTTAGGCCAGTGTTTATTGAACACTGCTAAGAGTCCTCTGGTGGTTTCTAGAATTTGCAAAAGTTCTTCAGGATAACTTTGTATAGCAGTATTCCCTTAACTAAAGAAGAGATGGCAGGGAGGCACTGTCCCACCTTCCAGACATGTGAGACTATCTGGTCAGCAATAGAAAGCCTTCTTAGTGGGCTTGGGAAGAAGGATGGCGTAGCCAACTCTTGCACATACCTTCTTTGTGGCAGGTGCTGACTTGAGTTGGCTTGAGAGCTGACAAGAGCTCTTTTCTTTGTTTCCAGTGCTGGGGATGAAACCCAGGGCCTCTTGCATGGATAGATTAGTGCTCTCCCACTAAACCATATCACCAGCTGAACAAAGCTCTTTTCTAAGTTTGATGGTCTCTAGGGGCCTCTGTAGCCCAGCTAAGGTCATGGATTCCTTACAGCTTTCTTTAGGTAGAGCAATGTTTGATCCAGAGCTGGCCCTGGGGGCTCCTGCTGTCTTAGCATCATCGAATCTAGACAGAGCGACTGGCAGTCCTAGAGATGCCTGGGAAAACTCCATCTTGGGGGACTGATGGGGTTTATCCTTGGACTTTAGAAGTGACTTATTGAGAAAGCCATAGACTGACCATTCTTTTCCACATCCTGTTTCACCAGAGCAGACGTTTGCTGCCAATGAAGCAATGTGCTTTCCAACTGTGCTGTAGACTAAGGCTGGAATTTGTTTCAAGATTCTTATCTCTGAAGTTCACACTGTTGGTGTTACCTCATTCCAAATACTGACTGCCCAGCATCAACAATAAATCACAGTTTCATTTAGTTGTCTTCATGGAATAGGGCTTTGGTTTTGAGTGCATAACACATGTGGATCCTTACAATGGGGGCATGCTTATTTGGGGGAAAAGTAGATTCATTCTTACCTCATTTAAACCTGGAGTGATAGTTGGAGCGGCAATAAAGACAACAAAAGGAGCAAACTCTGCAGTTCTCAGGACCTTCAGTGCCTGGGTAAAAACAAAACAACAACAACAACAAAAAGAGACTTAAATGAAGATATAAGTAATGCCACTTTCAAATGAGTCTATGAAGAATTTACGTAACTGAAAAATTCAAGCCCTTGGTTCAATTTTTTGGCAAGGTATTAAATGTACCAATTTCATAAATCAGGTTATTTTACTTCATATCTTCTAAAGGATGAATGATAGTTGTCAGGAAACAAAAGCTGACAAACTGGACATTTTTCTTATGAATCTCATGAGTCAATTGGCTTTATTTCTCTTCGTAAAAGTTAACATGAACTATGTTGGTTAATGTTCATTAAAACCTGGTTATTAGCTGGAGCTTGAATTTTAATTGATGGTCTATGCATCTGGGGGTAATGGGCCTTCAGATTGGCTTCACACCAATCCAGAGCCCACTTTGTTACATATGAAACTACAAATTGCTAACCACTGATAGCAAATCCTGGCCACTATGATTGTGTGGGCTACATTCATGCTTATATAAGGCCTTCTGTGTTGCCCTGGTGAAAGAATCCAATAGGGTTCGTGAGACAGGGGGACCCTGCCCAAGGCTGGAGTCATTGAGCCCCAGGCTTTTTTTGTTTTAGCCCTGCCACTAAAGACAATGTGTGGCTGTGGGCAATGTGTTGACCCATGAGAAAATGTGGCACTCAAGGGAGAAGGAACTCTGGGATCCCCTTCAGTTCCCTTCCAAAGCATCCCAAACCTCTAATTGCAAAAGTTGCTAGTTTGCATAGATGAATTGCAAAGTTGCAGTCGGATGCAATGGGAGTTGATTCTGCTGTGGGATCATTGCTTTAGCTCCTCCCCTGGGAGGATGCTTTTGGAGGTTTATAAAGGCCCCTCCAAGGACAAAACCTAGCGTACCCATCCAGGAACCCAATCCACAAGTTAACTCATATGCATCAGGGGTAAATATCTTGCTGTTCTTTATACGAGAATTTAACATATCAATTTTGTTAGCTACATATTTTTATTTTTAAAATTATTATTAAATTTTTTTTACGGTGCTGGAGATCGAACCCAGGGCCTCCCACATATCTTGCTTTTTAAATGGTCTCTAAATATGTGTGCTTTCCCTTATTCCTGTCACTCCATCTTTTGCCTGTTTCACTGTCATCACAATAGACTGGTTCTCTGTTTCCAGTTTTGCTGTTCTTCAACTATATTCCACTCTGCTACTAAAATGGTTTTTCTGAAATGCCAATCCCATTGTTCCATGCTTGAAACCCTTCAACAGCTCCCTTTTGGCCATAGGATTAAAAAAAAAAAAGTATACTCCTTAGCATGAAGATCAAATCCTTCCCTCACCAACTGGCCCATGCTTTAACCTCTTTGGCTTTCCTCTGCCCTCTCCTCAGAGGACTGGCCTTACTAAGCTGCTTTGAGTTCTAGAAAGGGTCAGACTCTGGCTTCCTGGTGTCTTTACTTACAACTCCCTCTGATTGGACCTCCCATCCACCTTCCCCCTTCTTCACTCTCCTCTTTGCTTGACTGAGTAATCCCTTCAGAACTCAGTCCCAATGTTCTTTTCTCTGGAAAGTTCTTTGTGAGCCCTGAGCCACTCATCTGTGCTATTAAAGCACCCACCACACTGGAAATATTAAGCTCTTGGGGACCTTGAGGGCAGGGACATGTCCTGTTCAACTGTTTCTTTCATGTCCAATATGACACCTGTCATAAACTGCCTTTAGGATCCAATTAAAAGGTCAAAACAAAAAATCTAATTTGTATTTGATTTCTCTTATCTTTTGAGGCAGGTTTGACCAGAGAGCATGCTGCTACATGTATGTAAGAGACAAATTTGATATGAAAAATTCTGACTTTCTCTTTGACTGTTAGCCCCACTTACACTGGGATACTACTTCTGAATTTTGGTCACATAATATCTACTGGTGGGTTAAGGGAAACTGGCATACTATCTTATTTGTCCATTAGAGTTCTTTAATTGTTAAAGTCACAGGTTCAGAGTCCCCTCTAAGAAAGTTCTTCAAAACTTGCACATGTTCACTTTTAAAAGAGGTAACTGGCAATTTCTTTGCTGATCTTTTGTGACCAAAGACCTTAGCAAGGAACAGTCATCATGAAAAAGCCATATGGAGCCAAACAGGAACCTTCTCTTAGAAATGTCCTTTTTGTCAATGTTATCTTGGGCCTCTTCTCCTTCTTTCCTGTGCTCCTGCATCACATGAATACAGGCTCAACTGGAGCAGAAGGTTTTCTCATCACACACACATACTCGCACATAGCCAGCCTTTGAGCAACTGAGATGGGGGAAACATCCTATTTGCTATATGCATAAACACATGAGGGTCATTCTGCATTTACTGTATGAAACCATCAATGAAGGCTACGTTCATCATATTGCCATGAGCCTTTTGTGTCAAGAATGTTTGGAATCTTGATTCCAAAAATAAATAAATAAATAAATAAGTGTGTGTGTGTGTGTGTGTGTGTGTGTGTGTGTGTGTGTGTGTGTGTTTTACCCTGGTTGCCAGGAAGTTCAGAGCCAAATTTAATGTTTATCACAGTAATTACAGTAGCTCCTGTGGTTCACATATTTTCTTTCTCCTCTTTTTCATGGCTTTGATTTTCTATTTCTGTCCTATATTATTATATTTTCCAAAATTCTGAGGTGGCTCAAGTCCTGACTGTGATGTTCTTGTCTAGTGCGCATGATATCTTTAGCAGAGTCACCACACATTTCTTTGTTCCTGAAGGTCTCTGTCCCCATTCCATGCTCTATTTCTGTGTTTCAAGTGGGCAACATTTTGGATGCAGTTTCAGTCTGGATGAGGTTCAGAGTCACTTGAGGAACAGGAAATGGAACTCCTCACAAGGATTCTCCTCCCTCAGGCTCACTTAAAGACAAACTCTAAACCTTCAGCTCTGACTCATGAGGAGACACAGTCTCTCTCTGAATCCCAGAGGAATTCAGAGAGGAGAGAGAGAGAGAGAGAGAGAGAGAGAGAGAGAGAGAGAGAGAGAGAGAGAGAGAAAACATGCGCACACATGCTCTAGAAAGATCACTGAGAACACTGTATTCAAATAGTCAAAGTAATGTTAATTTAACAGTTACTTCTTTAGTTCTCTTTTGTGGAGTAAATTGATTTTATGTTCATCTATTGGTGGCTAAGAATTAATTTCAGGTTACCATCTTCAAGGACTACAAACTCATTTGACCCAAGTATGATGCAGATAGCTATAAGACTAATTGGGTTTGGAAAGTTAAAAAGTATACAAGGGCAAGCGGACAAATAATTTTCTACAAAAATCTAAGGAAGAGCACAGTGACCTCAGAGAGGAAAGCAATTGAACAAAATGGCCTCTGGTTCAGAACCTGGTTGCCAGGATGTTCAGAGCCAAATTTGTTTATCACAGTAACTGTAGTAGCTCCCGTGGTTCTCATATTGGCTTCCTCTTCTTTTTCATGGCTTTGATTTTCTATTTCTGTATTGTGATTTTCTATTTCCTATATTTTTGTATTTTCTAATTATTATAACTATGTATTTTCCAATTATTGTATTTATTATATTTAAATCATTCTATTTTCTAATTACTGTATTTTTAAAATTTCTATCCTATCTTATTATATTTCCAAAATTTTAAGATGCCTCCAAACCCAGCTATGATGTTTTGTGTATAAGGTCTTATATCTTTGGCAAAGTCACCTTGTTCCTGAAAGTCCCTGTCCCCATACCTTATTTATTTATTTATGTATGCCATACTAGGGACTGAACCCTGGGCCTTGTGCATGCGAGGCAAGTACTTTTCCACTGAGCTACATCCTCAGCTCCTAGAAGCTTCCTCTTGACAACAACCTTTCCCTCTGTAGGCAAAAGCAAAAGCCCAAATATTCTGCTACTGTTAACTTTTAACACTCTAAACAGATAAATCAGAGTAAGGTTAAATTCTAAAACCATTGCATTAATCTTTCATCACACATTGGAGAAATTACAGTTTCAGCTTTAGGGACAGAGATTACTGAGTCCTAACTTTATTTTCATAAGAAAGAAATCTTATATTTTTTTCCTCAGGTTTTATTGCCTTCTACATTTTTCGAAATGTTTTAAAAACATTTGGTGGACCATCCTGAAGATTCCTAGGGAGGAGGTTGGGATTTATTACACACAAAACAAAACCAATAACAGTTTAAGTTCAAACCACTTTCAATCTGCTATAAACCTTGGTTCGAGTTACTTTTACATTAAGCCTCGATTTCTTCCATTATGGAAATAGACACTGATTTCTATTTCATAGGATTCCAAAGATTAGGTAAGGAGTAATAATGCTTAATGAAATATAAAACATTATAACAATACAATCTATTATTTTAAAAGAAGCCAGGTTACTATTTTTTGTAGCTCAGTGTCTTTACCATTGTTGCCTAGGTTTAGAGTTGGACCACAACATTTAATCATATAGTACTATTACACATGTGTTCCATTTGGCTTTAGTTGCCTAAAATAAATTAAGATGGCCCCAAAGCATCAGACCTGCACTCAATGAGCTGAACACTAGCATTAGGTGGTCTTTCTATGGCCCATATGTGGTAGAAATGGCCTCAGCTGTTGTGGATGTGAGATTTTTTTTTTAAAAAAAGCCACAATTTACTTTCCCTGTTAAGGACAGTTTCTGATGTACATGGAGGAAGGAATTTCATCCTCACCAGTTTGTCTTCTTAATTATATTTTTAGCTTCTGGCACAGTGCTTGGCATATATGGGCTTGATAGAAGTTTGTTAAATCAAACTGTGAGATACAGTAGTGGGGTTAATCTAACAAGCTAGGGCAGGAAAGGGGCTAGGAGAAAAATGTCATAAGGTCCCAAGGGGAAAGTCTCCCTGAAGCATCAAGGCTCTGTCTGAACGTAGGTTATTCATGGCCAGTGGCATCCCCAAAGCAGGATAAGGACCCTTCTCAGACCTAAGGAGAGTAGGCTGAGGGCAGAGAGGCCTGAGGGTGAAGTCCCATTGGCACAGACTCTGCGGGTACCCCATGGTGTACACATGGTCTCAAGTGTGAGACCTGGGCTGAGAATGAGTCTAGACTGGGCAGAAGAGCCTGGTACCAGAGTGGTCAACCAGCCCAATGAGACGAGCAGGCCCTGGGGCTACTGGCCCAAAGAGGCTCAGGCAGAGACCAGGATGCCCATGGCCTGCCTTCAGGGGTCAGTGGACTTGAGAGATCACAGTTCTGATAGGTGGGGACACAGGAAGCAGGAGAAGAGAGTGCAGGTGAGCCCATCCAGCAGTCAGGGAGCAGGGGGACAGTGTGCCCAGCTGGGGCAAGGAGGTGCTCCAGGGCCAAGTGCAATGGGTTAAAGGAACTGCTGTGGATGTCCTGATGAGGCCGAGAGAAGGGTCTCCCACTCAGCAGTGCAGAGCAATGCATGGCTGTGCAAGGACCAAGGGACAGGGAGAGCTGGACACTATGGGTGGAGCAGCAGCGGCAGCAGCGGTGGTGGCGGCGATGATAGCAGCGGCAGCAGCAGCAGGTAAGGCAGAAAGCCCTTGAAAGTGGACTTAGGTAATGCAGAGGGGGTCTGAGGAGCCCTGCAGCCAGCATACTGCTAGAGACATTACTACCAGCAGAAAACGACGTTCAGGTGAAGACCAGTGTGGAACCCAAGGAGAGGATGTCGAAGACCAGGACCAGGATTGAGACCTTGCCTCTAGCCACCCCTGGCCAGAAGATTTTTCCAATCCCTAGTAAGGAGGGATTAGTAGTTAAACAAAAATCAATCTGCGTTACACATCATCATATTTAGTTCTATATAGGTCCAAGTTAATTGTCAAGTCAACTACAGTGTCTGCACTATTGTTGCTCTCCTCCCTAGCCCCCGAACCAGATCCTTTCATGGTTTCCAAAGTTCCAAGTTCAAGAACCCATCAAGTGCTATCAAATGGAAACAGATGAACCCAATGGCCACAAGTCAGAATCTTGGTGTCCAGAAACTGAGCAGTCAGGTCCCAGGTCACACAGATCCTGCTGTGCAGTTTCTGTCCTCACTTTGGGGATGGCTGGGGGACCAAGTCTTATGCTGTGACCCTTGAACAGGGATTTGCCCTGCCTAGGATGGCCATCTAAGCCTCCTGATGAAATACAAGGGAAGCCTACTACAGGGGAGCTGACCCTTCATTTTGGTGGTTAGTGGACTGATTCTAGGTGATAAGGGATTTAGGGTACAGAATGGCCTTTAAAATGGCAGATCTGGGAGTCACAAGGGAACCCACAGCCTCTCCTGTAACCTCCCCTAATATCTATAATTCCCAAATCCTTCCTTCTGTGCTTCAAGTCCATTTCTGCTTGGATTATACTCAGACATGAAAAAATAGCTTGTCAGCATTTTTTTAGGTGCTGAAGATGGAACCCAGGGCCTCACACATGCTAAACCCACACTCTCACCCTACCACTAAGCAACACCCTCATCCCCTTTGATGTCAAGCCTTTTCTTTCAAGTTTCCTAATTCCAATTGCTTTTTGCAAAAAACATATTTACAAATCATTTAATCATCTCCACATCCAACTTCCCTTTGAGTCCTTTCCAAGTTGTCTATATCTGACCTAGTTTTAGCTCAGGGTCAGGCAGCATCCTCTTGTGAGGAGACTGGAGAGGCAGAGAACCACCCCTGCTCTCCATCCCTGTTCCATCTTGACATCTGACATCTGGGGTCACTCATGCTTGTTTTCAGAAAGCTAGCACTGTGTTTCATAACCAGGCCCCAGGATCAGTTTCTTGCTGATGATTAACATAAGATGCTGGCGGGTGCTCTGATGGTTCAGCGTAGCTGTACCAAGGCTGTTGTGATAACAAAGTACCAGAGTTTCACCCTGAGGTCAAATTATAGTAGAATTTCTGTAGAAGTTCTGAGTATAACAAATCTCATTGGAGAATAATCTGCTTCCTAAATACATGCCCAGTGATCGGCCAGTCTGCATTCTAGACTGTTAACCCATAAAATCTTGATTATTGACACTTTCCTGAAGCTTATGAGATTATTATGCAACCCATGAATCTCAGATAGCATCTTTTGATTTCAGAATCTGAACTTATCAGCATGCAGGCAGGATGGAGGGGTTCAGGGTGGCTGGGCCTTACCTGAGGCTCCACATCCAGAATTGCAATCAGCCCCTGCTCGTGGATCTTACGAATGGTCTCCAGTTTTGTCCCATACATTGCGTCCTCGTGGCTGCCATACTCCAAGTATTCATTGTTTGAGATGTCTTGCATCATTTGGTCATGAGATACAAAGTAATAATTCTTTCCATTTTCTTCATCTTTCTTTGGAGGTCTGGTTGTATCTGCAAAGTCCCATGTCACGAGAGGTTTAAAGGCTGAGCTGATCAACTTATGTTCCTAATGGGCCCACCCAGTCTACTACTACTCTTTTTAAAAATTGTGGCTTCTTTAGAGTATGTCCCACATACCCTGTTCCCATCCTAGCAGCTAGAAGAAAACTCTAGAATCCATTTTTATATGTGTATAACTGTGCCATTTAGTTATTTGGTTTGGGGAATACTTCAGTATTTACAGATATATTTCACTCCTTCATGGACCACCACAGGAAAAAGATATGAAATGATCCAAGATTAACTCACTCACTATATATATGTCTCAGTGTATTTGGGCCTTGATCAGGAGGAAGAAAGAAGATTTAAAAAAGGAAATACCAAATATGGTTATTTAAATTTAAACAAATTACAAATAAAAATTTAGTTCCTCAGTTTTACAAGCCATGATTCCAAGGTTTAACTGGCACAGGAGGTTAATGGCTGCTGTGCTGGACAATACAGAGATTGAATACTATCATTATCATTGACAGTTAGTGAGGTGTAACCATAATTATCATATAAAGACCTAAAGTAGGAGGTGGCAAACTGGCTCATGGGCCCAAAATGGTCTGCAGTCTTCAGGTTTTACTGGGACACAGCCATGCATGTTTGTTCACATTTTTGTCTATGGCTCTTTTTATGCTGCCACGGCAGAGCTGAGTAGTTGTGACACAGACTGTGTGGCCTTCAAAGTCTCAAATTTTGACTACCTGGTCCTTTACAGAAAAGATTTGCCAAAGTCTGACCTAAGTGGGTATATACTAAAGTCTAAACCAATATGCAAAACTCGCTTCAGGAAATGTTTTTCTAGATGAGCAAGGAATATTGGTTTAAATCTTTTTCTCCCTTTCCTTCCTCTCTCCTACCTTCTTCCTTGCTTCCTACCCTCCTTAAGCAAAGACAAATTTATACTACTCTTTGCTGGCACATGGGCTCAAGCCAGTGGGGAATTTCTTCTTTCCCTTAGAAGTGCCAAGTGTCATGACCTTCAAACTGTAGACAATCAGAGAAAAATCTTTTCTCTAGCCACATCAAAAGCTCAAGAAGTGGCATAATATATTGATGATATACTATCTTCAAATGATAACTATCTTCAGTTATCTCAGTAGTTAAATGTATGCTGTATACATTTTATTTATTTTTTCCAGATTTTTTTTATTGGTGCATTATCATTACATGGGGTCAAATATTTCAGAGATTAGACATGATTGACATCAGCAAAAGTAAGGTTTAAAGTCCAGCTAGCTAACTGGCCATTTAATAACATGGAAGTTCAATTGTTATGTGCTCAAGAGCAAACCAAATGTTAGCCAAGCTTGTTGTCCTCAAGATCTAGATATAAGAAGGATTAAAAGAACATTCCAAAGTATTTGATCAGAAAACCCCAGTAGCACCAATTGCAACGATACTTGATAAACTTGTCTTGGGTAAATCAGAGCCATCTTGTGAAGCCTCCTGGCTCAGGTGTACAGATTGAGTAAGTGGTGTGGACTGTGTGCTTCAGGATGGCATCCCAGGGCCCTGCAGGAAGGAGCCAGTCAGGACATTTTCTCCAGTTGCTCTTACAAATCATTCTCCTTAAGCTCTTCCCACCCTGAACAAAACTGTAACTGCTAGAAAGCTTAAGGGATTAAAATTTGAAACTTTAGAATACAGATGATAATAAGATGGCTGCTACTTATCCACCATCCGCTAAGTGCTTCATACACATGTTCTCAAATCTTCTTTACAACCCTGGGATTATTTTATTTTATAGTTCACATAATGAAGAGGGCAAAAGGTTAAGAATAAAATATAGGAAGGTAAGGGGGTTATTAGAAATCTTAAAATTTTCAAATTCTTTATAGTAAACAATTGATAGCACATTGACTGGGTTTTTAAACTGATAAGAAGAAGACGGGCGTGTTGGTGCACACGTGTAATTTCATAGCTTCTTGGGAGGTTGAGGCAGGAGTGAATCACAAGTTCATGGCCAGCCTCAGCAATTTAGTGAGGCCCTAGGCATCTTAGATGCTGTCTCAAAATAAAAAATAAAAATGGCTGGGAATGCAGCTCAATGGCAAAGCAATCCCCAGTGAGAGAGAGAGAGAGAGAGAGAGAGAGAGAGAGAGAGAGAGAGAGAGACTGTTGCATTACAGAAAAGTATATAACTATTAAAACTTATTTTTCTGAAGAATAACTAATCTAGGCAATGTTTTAGGCATACTGTTGGAAAAATTAAATTATAAACAAAATGAATGAACTTAATGTTATTTAAAATCCCACAAACATAGCACACACACACAATACATATATTCATACTAAAAGAAGCCTAGGAGGGTATACAACAAAATATTTATAGAACTTATTATTGGGAGAGTGAAGTTGGGATTATTAACTCATTTTCTTCTTTGTCCTCTTTTGGGTTTTTATAAATTTCCTACAACGAACAGCTATTACTTATATAATCAGAAAAAATATGTAAATTACCATGTTGAAAATTAATAAGAAAAACATAATTAAAAGATATTGAGACGTTGCTTACGTGGAATAGGGTATGCAAACCGGTCCGGGTGCTTTGTGATGAGGGTGTTTTTTATGTGTCTTCTCCCAACACCATGTGCACCTATGGCATTTTTTGGAAAAAAAAAGTTAAAATTGACAACTGTTAATAATATTTACAAAATGTTTTTAAGGTGAGAATAAGTAAGACACTTTTATAGCCAAACTTACCTAATAAGACTAGTGTTTTCCTTTTGAATGCTGGCAGTTTTACTACTTCTTCATATGTGACAAGATCTAATTGATCAAACACTAAAATGCAAAGATTTAGAAGAAAGGTCAATTTATGGAATGAATATTTCAAGTACGTAAATTGTAATTTTACTGGCAAAAACCAAGTTACATTAAAAGTGTCTTAAAATATGAATTCAATTTATGGTATGTGCTTTACATGTGATTGAAGTCGTATAGCATTTAGGAGAGAAATTTTCATTTTAAGCCCATGAAAATGCACTTTAGAAACAGGGGCAAAGATATGTTGAGTACATGCATAAAAGTCCAATTCGAAAGGATACTGCATATTTTCTCCCATGCAGTATCTAGCAAATCATATGAATTCATTCAAAATCACATGCTGTTCATATTTTTACAATTTAAGAAATCAGCAATACTAAAAAGAAAAAGTCTATGGACAGTGACCAACATGAACAGAGCATGAATGCAGCTAAAGTCAACCAAGAGAGGGGCCAGCTAGATCATTTCTAGAGAGAAATGGATGAGAAATGCATGGCCATTGGTCTTGAACTTCATGGTTCTTTCTTTCAAATTGATGAAGGTGGCATGCTAGATTCTTTCAAAGTCAAGTTCTGTAATTATCGTCACAAGCTTTTAAATGAGCATCTTGCGAGTTCTATTGTAACCCAGATATCCATTCGATGGAAAATCTCAGGTACCTAAGTAGGAGAACATGCTTTCCTGGCCCTGAAACCATGTCACTCATCACCTTGGGCAGTTGTGTGTGATAATCAGGATGGACAGGATGGCAAGAATAGTAAAGGAGAATCTGAACTCAGAAACTTTTGCAAAAGGAGAGTTCTCTGATTATTACAGACCAAGAAGAAATAGTTTAAAAATACTTCTCTGACACCTGCCTGTTAACAACACAAGAAGGATTTTAAGCAACACGTGAAAGTGCTCTGAGCAAATGACCATTCCTGTTGAAGTTCAACATGGTCAGTTTCTCACACAAATTTGAAAATTCTCATAAGAAGGCTAAAATCATCTGTCTGTTTCCTGCAGTTTTTTTTTACATGATCATATCCAAATATTGTCAGGTACACACTAAATCTTCCTCTTAAAAGAGTAACGAATTAGCCCTGGATTTTATTTATTATTATTATTATTATTATTTTTGGTATTGATTGAACCCAGGGGCGCTTTATCACTGAGCCACATCCCCAGCCCTTTTAATTTTGAAACAGGGTCTCGTTAAGTTGCTTAGGGCCTCTGTAAGTTGCCAAGGCTGGCTTTGAACTTATGATCCTCCTGCCTCTGTCTCCTGAGCCACTGGGGTTACAGGCATGTGCCACCATGCCCAGTTTCTAGCCCTGGATTTTAGAGGGGTTGAAGTAAATTTAATAAAATCGATTTCACATTGCCATAAAGGGATCTGGGATGCTTAGGTTCATCATTAAGAAGGTATCTGCTCCCTGAAACAATGTGGCTAAATGATTATATCAGCTCAGTAGCAAAGAACCTCACAATGCAAAATAAGACCCTGGAATGCAATAGATCAGAAACAAACAAATGAACAAAAAGCATGATTCTCAAAATATATATAAAAAGAAATATGTTAATAAAGCATTAATGCATATTAATGGGTACTTGTGCATTTGTTTTTGTTCCATAACTGGATTTCATAAAGGTTGACTGCAAATCTTTAGAGCATATTCCCTAGCAGCAGCTAAAAACGACGACATGTTTTCTGTGTTTGAAATGGCACGTTCCCAAAATTAAAATGAACATGAGGCTCTCTGTGGCAGAGCTAGCTAGTAATGCTGCAGTGGTAATGGAGTGATGAGAGCTACAAAATGAAAGCAGGAGTGCTTATGGCATCATTTTGTGTACCTATTGTCTGCTGAGTAATATTTCCATCAAGAAAAAGCATGCTTGTGGAACAAGTACATCAACTGGCTGATTTATTTATTTATTTAGGTACTGTGGATTGAGCCCAGGGACACTTAACCACTGGCTATATCCCCAGCCCTTTTTATTTTTTATTTCGAGACAGGGTCTTGCTGAGTTGCATAGGGCCTTGCTAAGTTGCTGAGAGTGGCTTTGAACTTGCAATCCTCCTGCCTCAGCCTCCCAAGCTGCTGGGACGACAGGCATGTGCCACCATGCCCAGCTGATATGTTTTAGTGTGTAAAAAGAATCAAATCTCTCATGAAAGATCAAGATGATGATGACACAAGCATTCTGAATGGTAAACACATCCCCTCCCTCTACAGAGCCCTGACTCTGGTCCTACTGGATTAAGATGTCAGTTTTTAAAAACACGCAAGAATGTGTTAGATATCAACAATCAACACCACGAAATGAACAGATAGGTTAAACATCAGCATCTTAACCATGAATGAGTAACATGAAGGGGTTACTTTGCTCTAAATGAAATCATCACGTGGTCATAGGGTTGCAAAGCAATAAGAAAGGATATTGAAACGTAAGAGATACAAGGAATATTAGGAGCGTACTTAAAGATTGAACTTTTAAAGGTTTTAAGTTGCTTGTTGATTTAAAAAAAAATGAAACCACCAAAAACACAGAGGCATAGTCATTCAACAGGTTACTTACATGCACAGAGGCCATTGGGAGTGAGACAGCATGAAAAATGTACAGGGGTCATTGAAATATGGCTTTTCATATATTAGTAAAATAAAAGTATAATATGCACAAAATAAACTTTATCATGCAATATTCTAAACACAAGGCAAATCAGTCACATTAAGAAACAAACTCATTTTAATAAAAATTTAATCATATCCTTATATAAAAGCCAGTGGATTTCACATACTAGCATCTGGGGTTGAAATTTTACATGGGAATTTACAAGACACTCTTTTTAGAGAGCGTAGGTGTGGAAGTCTTTTGTTTTTCGTTTTGCACCTTCCTGTACTGTTTGCAATTTCTAATCATGCGTGCCTATTACTATTATTATTAATTCTTGCCAGCTCTAGGGATGGAACCCTAGCACATGCTAGGCAAGTGCTCTACCACTGAGCTGCAGTGGTAATGGAGTGATGAGAGCTGCAAAATGAAAGCAGGAGTGCTTATGGCAATATTTTTTATACCTATTGTCTGCTGAGTAATATTTCCATCATCATCATTATTATTATTTTTAATACTTTCAGTATTAAAAATAATGCACTAGGGTGGCAAGGCCAGAGGCCACTATTTTGTCTTTAGAGTTCTATGTACTCAAGAAAACAAAAAGCATAAAAGTAAAGTACTTTTACTTTTAAAAGTAAACAGTAGTAATTTGTAGCACTAAGCATAATTTAAACATGCTTATGAATGGTATTGTAGAGATGCTCTCAGTTCATATGTATGTATATAATAGTATATTTTAGGATATTCAAATATCACTGGCTCAGGGATCTGTCACTTAAAAATGAATGAATGAGGGCTTTCTTCCTTCCTTCCTTTGTACTAGTGATTGAACCCAGGGACACTCTACCATTAAGCTATATCCTCGGCCCCTTTTAGTGCTTATTTTGCAACAGGGTCTCCCTAATTTGCTGAGGCTGGCCTTGAAGTTGTGATCTTTGTGCCTTAGCCTCCAGAGTTGCTGAGATTACAGGTGCAAGCTACTGTACTTGACGTGAAGGCTTTGTAATTTTAAAAAGAGTTCACATTAGTAACTTGATCCAAAATTTACTTCTGGAAGTTTTAAGGGTGGGAATCTCAATGCCTCAAGAGTGCAATTCTAGCAGCACAACAATGCTTTTTGCACCGAATGTATGTGGCTAAAAATCTTTATGTGTTGCAGAAAATGTATTTGCTATAAACACTACACATACCATAATCAAATTTTTTTCCCAAGGATTCAGAAATACTTTCTGGCATAGTTTGCTTATATTTCTCTGATTTCCTGGTAGGTTACTCAACATTCCAGACACTTCTTTTAAGTTTCTGGTAATTACTTTCCAGTTGAATCTTTTCCATTAAAAAAAGCTGTTAGCATTGAATCCTTGTCTCAGTTTGAAAAGCTGCAGATATCTTCAAAGACTATACAAATCTCCAGTTAAAAAAGGGCATTGCATACTGGTCGCATCAGGCCATGGAGTGTACACTCGAATGCCTGCAGTGGCCAGGAAACTAATGTGGTTAAATGAAGTGGGCCAGACACAAAAACAGGGGATTGTGGGGTTGGTGGGCGCTGGAGAGTAAGTGTCCATCCAAAAGGGCCATTGACGGCCCAGAGTCCTTAAGAAAGGAAGTAGCTCACTGTTCTGCATTCCAAGGGAAGTCTAAATCCAGAGTTTTATATTGAATAATCTGACTTTCAAATGTGATAACTTATAAAATTGTTTTAAACACTGTGTGTGAGAGACAAAACTTATTTATGGGTTCAAATTGACTAACAAATAGGCTGCCACTTTATGATGTGAGATGTAGGCCACACAGATGAGCAGAATTTGGCTTTAACTAAATAGTAGAATTTCCTAGTGACAGAAATGGAAATAATTCTGGTATTATTGTTTCCATAAGTTTTATCTACTGACTGAATCCTTTATTTTTACCACAGATATAAACAATTTCAAAATTTGATGATAAGGTTTGGCTCTTGCTGTCGATATATGATCAATTCTCAAACATGCGGATTATGAAACAAAACATACTGCTCTTATTTGCTAAGTACTACAGGAAGAACAAAGGGCATATTGTGTTTCATTCAATTTCTGAAAAAGCCAGAAAAATCCTCTGCAAATATAGTTTGATGTGTGCCCATGAGCCCATCTGGCTCGTTTTCAGTATGAAAGATTATGATATTTCCAATTTTTTGATGTTTCTATGTATCTGCCTTACTAATGGAGGTCAATAGTATTTGCTTCTCACTCTTTTAGGGCAATTCTGTATGTTAGGATGAAATTTCATTATGGCTAAAAGCAGAAGAGCTGATAAGATGCCCAAATTCCCTTCCTGACAATCTGATCTCTTGTAGAGTAATAGCAATCCCTCAGGAAATGGAAGAGTTGGTTGGTGAAGCAGAAGAAATCTAAAGAACTGGTAACAGAAAGAAACGCTAGGCTTTGTCAGGCAGAATAATCCAGAAAGTGCAGGAAAATAGCTGACCATTTCTCCTGACCAGAGAAACTGAAAGGAGAGCTTGACAGATTATTTTGCAGGTGAGAGAACCCTAACAATGATATTCTGACTAGAGAATCACAGATAAACCTAAACACAAAGAAACTTTTTTCCCCCCTTGGTCTACATTTTATTGGCACTTATAGGTCAATTATCATTTCATATTAGAGGTGAAAGCAGTAATATGTCATAGTTTAGCAAAAAGCTTACACAGGTCTAGCTTCTGTGACACTCAGAGAGATTTCTCAGGCTGCTAGAGGACAGTAGATCACAATATAAGAACAAATGCTCTAAATGGTTCAGAAGGCAAAAAATAATCCCCCTTCCCGTGCTGATTTCTATGCCATTAGAGAAAAGTATTGTTTAAGGAGCTCTGCAAGAACCTTCTAAGGAGCTCAGACTTCATTTCCCAAGAGGGTTCACATGCAGAGAAAAGTACTGACAGGCAGAACACTCACTTAAGCAAGGGATTGATTCGGCTTTGATGCTCAGAAGAGATCCTTAGTTAGGAAAACACTGAAGATAACATATAAGTGGTTGAAGTAGGTCCCCATCCCTACTTGCCCTCGCTTTATCTTCATTTTGAGTTTCCAAGAACTTAGATAGGTCAATGGTTTGGGACAGATGTAAAGACAGAGGAAAAACCACTTCTGTTCTACCCATTAGGCTCCTGCCTTCTGTATCAAGGGTGAAATCTTTCAACCTTGAGAAGCAATGATCTATCAGAGAGCCAAAACCTGCTGTGGGATAGAGTACTAAGCTTCCTTAAATGATACCCATCTGGCGGGCCACGTGGTGAAAGAACACTGAATTTGAGAATTAGAAAAAGATTGTCTTGATTGATTAGCTGAATTCCCTTGTTTGTTTTTTGGTACTGGGGAATGAACCTGGAGGGGCGTTCAACCACTGAGCCACATCCCCAGCCATTTTTTTTTTTTTGTAGTTGAACACAATACTTTAAAAAAATATATTTATTTTTTTTTTATGTGGTGCTGAGGATTGAACCCAGAGCCTCGTATGTGCTAGGCTAGTGCTCTACTGCTGAGACACAACCCCAGCCCCCACCCCAGCCATTTTTTTAAAAAAATATCTTATCTAGAGACAGGGTCTCACTGAATTGCGGAGGCTGGCCTTGAACTCCTGATCCTCCTGCCTCAGCCTCCCCAGCTGCTGGGATTATAAGCATAAGTGATTTGCCTGAGTCCCATGGTTACTCAGGTGTGCTGATTTCTAGTCCTAGCTCAGGCTGCCTATTAAGCTTACAGATGTATTTGGAGGACCAGTGTGCTCCATCCGTTAGGAATCAGAGAACTAAGACAACAAGAAGAGACTAGTGATGTCCCGGTGCTCAAAGAACAGAAAAAGTGAACCACAGAAAATACTGGCTGCCAGATTGGATGCTGATTCTCTGGCAAAATTCTTTAATGCATGATTGATTGGGTTAATTCTTTATCATCATTTAGAAAGATCTAGTTTTTCAATGGACTTGCTTATTTTTCCTCATAGCTGAATTAAAGAATATTGGCAAATTGAACACTCATGTCTATGGGCCCTCCATTAGTACAGTATAAAAACTAATAATGCACTGACAGCCTTAACCAGCCATTTCTTTGTTGTTTTCTAGGTTTAAATTAATTTCAATGCCATCTATGTCTATGTGTCATTTAATATTGTAAATTTTTCAAATTAAGATAATTTTTTTGAGTATTTTAGATAATGTCAGTATGTTTTCCTGTGAGCCTGTTAGATTGTGCTACTGGTAGAAGCTGGCAGAAATAAAAACAACTAAGGACACTTGGCAAAAAACTGCTGACATCTTAGGTTGAGCAACACTCTGCTGATACTGCATTGCATTTTTTCAAAGCACACTACTTGAGAATTTGCAATTAATAGTGGCTAGACTTCATTTAACTAGTCTGCTTTAAGTATTTCTTCTCTTTATAAAACAAAACAAAAAGTCATTATGAGAGGAGTGCTCTGTAGTAGTATATAATCAGAAATAAAAGATACATTTTATCAGAAATAAAAATGTGGTACAATGTAATTAATCCGGAAAGAAGGACTTCCCATATAACACTACCATTTGAACTTAAAACTATGTGGCCACTCACATTCATATTGTACCATACAGCATTTCAAAATGTTTATTTTAATTTCTGATTCAGAAATGAAAATTGAGAATTCTTAAATATTTTTTCCTAGTGAATGTCAGAACATTCTACAGAGAAAGAAGCTTTTCATATTTGTCCAATTAATTATATTATGTTGTTGGATTGAGTATGTGTGTTTGGATTCGCTTGATGTTTTTGGGTCACATTTGATTTTTGGAGTTCTTTCTGAAACCTTGGGAACCCATCTAATGCCAGTGTCAGGGCTCTTAATTCCTCAGAAAAAGTTCCTTACAAAAGGAGTCATTTTAAGGAATCACTGAAAATAACTGTATCATTATGTATTTTCTTTTCGCTTAAGCTACATCCTACGAGTCTTCTGGGAATTCTCTTGCAATAACAGATCATGCTTTCTTGGTATTCATTTCAGTTTTTAACAAAACAAGTGAACATTTTGACTTACGTTGCACACAAGCTTCCATATAGACAAACAAACTATGAAGGGAAGGCCAAGATAAAATGTCTTTGATTTTTTGGGAGCTTGGAAATGCCATGAAGGAGAAGACTACTCACAGAAACGGACTAAACCAAGTTAGTACCTATGCCATCTGCACCCTTTCAAACCAAGCACCGAACCTTTTGCAGCACAGCTTGTGCATGCACCTTTGCCCTTAGATATCTGTCATGGGGCCATGTCCAAGCACCAGGGAGGAACCCAAGAGGGAGGGTTATCTGCTCAAGGCCAAGGGAGGTAAGAATCCTGGGGTCTTGGCAAACTCTCAGGCTCTCATTTCTCAGGGGAGGACTTAACTTGTTGACATCCCTGAATACAGTATTTCCCAATAGCATTTCTATCCAATAAAGTACAACTTTGTAAAATATATTGTTAATCACCAATATATTAATCGGAGGCAGAGTTTTCTTCATGGTTTTGCAAGTTGGTGACAGTCTCACAGGGTGGAATGTTTTGGATAAACTCTGAAGACCAAAAGGAAATGTTACATCTACATTGGTCTTGGAGATGTTTAACCCAGCCTCAGGAACCGATGTACTTTTCCCTACCTGCATTGTGCTTTGCCAAATATTTATCTTTGTACTGCTTCTTTTTCTTGCCAAACCAAGTACAGCTGGCCTGCTGCTCCTGTTTGGTCTTCTCCATTGCAATGCAAGCTACTCGCCTAGTACACAAAGGAGGGGGAAAAAACCCACCAAAATTAATGTATACATTAATATATATTAATGTATAAAAGAGAAAGATGATTCATTTGAAGAGTTTACATGAAAAAGCATGAACACACTCATTGCAGTCTTTCAAATCACTCACAAAAGACTGCTTTTTGGTTTGCATGATGATTCCTTAGAAATGTTTAAACAGCATAGGCTTATGTTAAAATGGCATTGCATTTCTTGAACATACATCACTGATAACACAGATCAGAAACTTAAACTTGAATGATCATGGGATTTTGAGTAGAGACAGGCCTCTTTTGAACCCTGGCTTTGCCACTCATTAGCTGGTTTTGAGTACTTAGTGTTAGGCACTTTTCTAGGAATTTTACATATATAACTCAATCTTTCTAATGACAAACAGAATCGTGTCACCATTCTACAGATGAAGAGATATTGAAGGATTGAGAGGCTAAGCAATTTGCCCGAAATACACAGCTAGATTGTAACTTTACTTCACATCCTGACAAAGTAGGGAGAGTCTGGCACCCAAGCCCATGACCTCAGCCAGAACATTCTATCAGTAAGGTCTTTAATCTCTTGGAGTCTCTCAGAGGCTGTTATAAAGAATTAGAAGACAAAAGGTAAATGTGCCTACCTCAGTGCCAGGCACACAGTAGATATTTAGTAAATAGTATTACTACTACATGACAATTCTTTTTTCTTTTTGCAGTACTGGGGACTGAACCTAGGAGTGCTGTACCACTGATCTACATCCCCAGACCCTTTTATTTTTTATTTTAAGACAGGGTCTGGCTAAGATGCTTAGGGCTTTGCTAAGTTGCTGATGCTGGCTTTTAAACTTGTGATCCTCCTGCCTCAGTCTCCCAAGTGAAGTCCCTGGGATTACAGGTATGCATAATTGAGCCCAGCCTGCATGACCAGGCTTAGTCCAAGATAGAAAAAAAAAGTGTTATAATTAAGTTGTTATAATTATAAGCAGAAAATTATAATTTTGGTTTACTTGATTATAGTATGCAGCATTGGTAACATAGGCAGAGATGTTAAAAAATTGCTCTCTTAGGTTTAGTCTATGCAGATACTTGCCTTTTTTTTTTTTTTAGGATGTTGCCATAGATTTTACTCTCTTAATGATTTTACTTATGGATCAATCAGGAGTCCCTGAATGAGTTATATATAAGGAAAATCCAAAATCACTATCAGAATGCCATATGGTACTATTGTAAATGTGATGTTATTTTCCAGTTGGGTTGTACTGATATACACTCCCACCAGCAGTGTATGAGAGTTCCTACTGTTCTACTTCCTTGGAAACATTTGGTATTATTAGTCTTTAATTCTATCATCATGGTGGATAAGCAATATAATACCACTGTGTTTTAGTTTACATTTATCTGATTAGTAACGAGACTGAGCACCCCTGGATTTCTTCTTTTGTAAAGTGTCTGCTTAAATGTCTTGATTATTTTCCTGATTTGGATATTATACCTTTGTTAGTTCTACGCATTGCAGATACCTTCTTCTACTCTATGGATTGCTTCTTTATTTTTTTATGGTATCTTCTAATGAACACATATTATTAGCTTTAATTTAGTTAAATGTATCAATCTTTCCTTTAATGAGAAGTATTTTTGATATTTTAAGAAATCCTTCCTAGTCTTTGAAGATATTTTCCAATATTACCCTCTCAAAGTTTATAGTCTTATTTTTCATGATTTGGTTTTTAATGTAAAGGAACTGAGTTTTGCTGTTTGTGTGAAGTAGGGGTCTAGTTTCTTTCTTCTTTTTCTCCCTAACAGATACCCAATTATCCCAGCACAACTTAATGAAAAGTCCGTCCATTTCAGACTGCTTTGCAGTGCTATTTCTGTCATATATCAAGTGCCCATTTGTGTATGGGAGTGTTTGGGGTTCTCTATTCTTTTCATCTGGTCTATTGGAGCATCCTTAAATTTATACTGAATTACCTTTAAATTTTATTTTTGTACCAGGGATTAAACCCAAGGGTGCTTAAACACTGAGCCATATCCTTGGCCCTTTTTATTTTTATTTTGAGACAGAGTCTCACTAAGTTGCTTAGGGCCTTGCTAAGTCGCTGAAGCTGGCTTTGAACTTGGATCCTTCTGCCTCAGCCTCCTGAGCCGCTGAGATTACAGGCATGCACCACCATGCCCCACAATACCTGATTATCTTAACTACTAAAGCTTTATAAGTAGTCTTAGAATCTAATGGAGCAAGACATCCTTACTCATTCTTCAAGAACATCTTGGTTACTCCTTAACAAATGTATTTCCATGTAAACTTTAAAGTTAGATTGTCAATTTCAAAACTGTTGGGATTTTGGCTGAGGTTGCACTGAATCCATAAAATCAATATGGGAGGAATAGATTTTCTACAACATTGAATCTTTCAGTTCATGAACACAATATGTCTTTCTGTTTTCCTTAATGTTTCAATTCATTTTATAATTTTTTTCTATAAATTTCTCGAATACCTTTGTCAGATTTGTTTCCAGGTTTACTGATTTAAACAAACAAACAAGGCATTGTAAATGGTATTTAAAAACTACTTTGTAATGATGAAAATTTCAAACACATATGAGAATATAATGAAATGAACCTCAGATACATACAGCACAACTTCAACAATTATTACTCATAACTTATTTGATTTTTAAAATTTTATCTCTGTGATATCTTAAGTATGCTCCTTTACCATTTTCATTTCTTGCAAATGGGTAATTAATCTAGAGACCTAATCAGATTCAGGGTCAATTTTTTTTAAAGCATCATGGTGTTGCAGGTGGTATTATATATGGGATCATTTAAAAGTTTTACTTTCTGTTTGTGACTGGTAAATAGAAGTGGAATTGATTTTTAAATTTTAAGTGTTTTTATTAGTTAATTATATACAATAATGGGGTTTATTTTGACATATTCATAGATGCATGCAACATAATTTGCTTAGTACTTAATCCTTAGTACTTACTCTTTAATCCTTAGTACTTACTCTTTCTCTCCCAGCCTCCCTCCCCATGATCCCCCCTTTAAACTACTCTACTGGACTTCTATTTATTTATTTATTTTTAAGTTAGTGCATTATAGTTATACATTAAAGTGAAACTTACTGTGATATATTCATACATGTACATGACATAATTTGGTCAGTTTTATTTCACAGTTCCTTCCTAGAATCAATTTTTTTTTTTTAAAGAGAGAGTGAGAGAGAGAGGGGGACAGAGAGAGAGAGAGAGAATTTTAACATTTATTTATTTTTTCTTAGTTCTTGGCGGACACAACATCTTTGTTGGTATGTGGTGCTGCTGAGGATCGAACCCGGGCCGCACGCATGCTAGGCGAGCGCGCTACCGCTTGAGCCACATCCCCAGCCCCCTAGAATCAATTTTTAAAATATTGATTTTGTATCAGCAAATTTGCTGAACTGTCATATTAATTCTAATTGTTTATCTATAGATTCCTTTGAATTTCTATGAATCACAAGATCTGCAAAATTTTTCCTTTTCCAATAATGTTTATTATATATTTCCTGTAGATGTCCTATATCAGGTTAAGGAGGTCCTCTTGAATTCATGGTTTGTGGGAGTTTTAATCAGGATTGAGTGTTGAATTTTATCAAAATTTTTTTTCTCTATCTATTGATATGACCACATGGATTCTTTTCTTTAGTCTGTTAATAGGTGGATCAGGCTGATTGGTTTTCAAATGTCAAAACAGCCATTTACTCCCAGTCTAAATTCCACTGGGTCATGATGCTTTGACCTTTTTATATATTGCTGGACTCAACTTGCTAATATTTTGTTGAGAACTGTATGTGTGTTCATGTTGAATACTGGTATTCTTTCTTTCTGTACTGGGGATTAAACCCAGGGGTGCTTTATCACTGAGCAACATACATAGCCCTTTTTTTTGAGACAGGGTCTCACTAAGTTGCTTAGAGACTTGTTTAGTTTCTGAGGCTGGTTTTGAACTTGTGATCCTCCTGCCTCAGCCTCCTGGGCTGCTGGGATTACAGGTCTGTGCCACCATGCCTGGCTGGGATGTAGTTTTTTTGAACTGCCTTTATTTAATTTTGGTTTTGGGGTAATAATGGCATCATAAAATGAGTTGGGAGGTATTCTTCTCTATTTTCTTAAAGATATTTTTCTCCATGCCTCTTAGCCTTTCTTGTTCACTGAGGTTTTTCTTTATTTTTGTTTAGGGAAAAGACATTTACTGGGAAACACTGTGACCTATCAGTGATAGCATCACAGCCAATCTCCACATACTACCTTTGTGGCATACAGAGGAGGCTGATGAGATCTTCACTTTGGAGATTCTTCTGGCTCAAGTCAAAATATACAATAGTCTCAATTAATTATAGCTTCTCTGAGGCACAAGATTATTGGAAACATGAACAGAATTAAGGATTTTTTTTGACAAGTTAAAAAAAGACAACCCTTGACCTTGTGAAGCCTATGTTATCAAGTACACAGTATCTTACAATAACAAGTTCCCAGTAAAAGTTGGTGGTGTGGTCATGTGTGGTATGATAGAGGAATGAAAGTGACTTTTTTACCAGCCACTCAGGAGACCAATGGCAATTCTTTAGCTCAACCAGTGCACAGAAACTGTGTTAGGGTTAAGGTCAACGTGGAGGAAAATTTCAAATATAGCTTTGTGACTGATGTCAACTTTATTATCAGAATTAAAATCTCAGTGGCCACACACCTGTTATAAAGACTTGTAAAAGTTTCATATAGGGGAAATGCCATTCAGGAAAAAAAATAAATATGTGATATACCTGTTAATTTTATTGGTACCTTTGTTCATAGGCAAGGGTAGAGATGACTGATTCAGAGACCCAAACATACTAAAGACCTAGATTGATGTGACTACAGCAGGACATTTGGGTCAAAAAATTTTGATTTTTCATCTAGCAGGTGTGAAAAATGTGACTTGGTAGCAATACATTTGAATAAAACTTCTAGGTCTGGCTGATGATGTTGTTTCAAATCTTTCTGGTAAGTATTTCATGCATACTGACATTTTAGAGCCCAATTCCCTTTCTCAATAGAGGGAAGCTGCTTTTTTTCTTGAGCCACTCAAGAATGGCTTCCTGTATCCCCTAAAGTCCTAATCAGATCTTAAGGGACATATGGGTTTCTTCCTCATCATCCTGGTCAGAGTTCCTATCTCCTTCCTATTAAATTTTACAACTTTAATTTAGTTCATTAATTTTTCAAAACTGAACATATTTAAAATGGACAATTTCATCAGTTTTTGATGTTATGTATAGATCCCATGAAACCATCATTGCAATCAAGTGAACATTTTCATTACCCCTGGAATTGTGGCAGGCTCCTCTGAAATCCCTTCTTCTCTCCATCCCCTCCCTATGTGCTAGGCAACCATTATTTCTATAGATTAGTTTACATTCTCCAAAAGGTTATGTAAATGGAATCATGTAGAATGTCCTCTTTTTTGCCTGGATTCTTTTGCTCAGTAGAATACTTTTGAGTTTCATCCCTACTATTGTATCAATGGTTTATTCCTTTTTATACTGGGTGGCATTCCATTTGTACGACTGTGTCATCACTTTTTTATCCATTCACGTGGTGGAACATTTTAAAGTCATTCTAATAGATGTGTGGTCCTGAGATTTTAATATTGTTACTATATACTCCACCCCCCTTGAAAGTTCTTTTGGTTCTTTTTCAAATATGTCATGTCATTTATATTTTTTTCTGTTCCCTAGAGATGATTTTTTCAAGCTCATTGTTGAATATTTTAAAACTTAGTAATGCCAATTTTAAAATATTTGTCTTCTAATTCAATATACCAAGTGGGTTTGAGTTTGTCTTTACTGTCATTTCTTTTGGGTCTTGCTTGTTTCCTTGTGTGCCTGGTGATTTGGACTTGCCAGTCACTGCCCTGGAAAAAGTTAATGTAGGGCATTAGGATGAAGTTGTGGGGTTAAGATGAAAGTGTTCTTTTTAAAGAGACTTTCTTTTTGTTTATATCAGATATGTGGGACTATTAATAAGGAAAATGGAAACTTCAAACCAAATACATGGCTTGGGTTTCCCTGGCTGTCCCAGATGAGATACACCTTGGTCTGAATTCATTCAAGGTGGACTGAGTCACAATTTTTTCAGGGGAGTTTGTTTCCTCTTTATTTTCGCCTTTTGCTTTGCTCAGTGATAAAGCAGCCATCTCTATAGTCCCCTGGTCAAAGAAGAGTAAGGCTCTGCTGTTTACTTTTAACTTGGAGGTATCACCTTTTATAGTCCTAATACTGTGGGGGAGGGTCTCTTAACAGATTCCTCAACTTGTTTAGGCTGCAGGGCTTAACCTTGGTCCTCTGGCAAAGAAGTGTTCAGTAAGGGCAAATGCCCCTCTTGGGAAAATGCACCAATTTGGGCATTTCAAATTTCTGCTTATCATTCTGATTAAAAGCTTTCATAGAAAAAATTGTCCACTGAGTTCTCTAGTACCTTTTCAACTATTCAGTGCGTTCAAGGCCTTTTTAAGAAACATATTTTCTGCAGCACTTTTCATTTTTTTTTCAGCAGGAAGATTAATCCAAATAACCTAGTCCACCATTATGGGAAAAAGGAAGCAAATCTGCTTTTTCCACTGACATTTCTCAGGATTCCTTCAGAGGACTCCAAGTTCTAGATATTAGTGGGACATGATTTTTTTTAATAGATGATCTTATTAAGGAGAAGAGGTTTGGGATCTACATAATTATTTTTGATAAATGTTCATAATATATGGCAACACTTAGGAAAACATTTTGTAGAATGTAAATCTCTGTTAAAAGCATAACAGAAGCATCATCAAAGTGATTTAGAATTGCTTTCCTCTGGTTTATGCTAAACTGTTTCTTGAAGATCAGAGTGAAAGACAAGGCCAGATGGAAGTAAGGCTGCTGCTTGTCTGGGCCCACGTATCCTCATGTGGAAAATGATGGCAGTCTAAATTTAAGGATATTTTTGGGAAACATGGGATAGCTGAAAGAGGCGAACAAGAAGAAGAGATTAACTAAGATAACTGAGAAAGCTCTCTCTTTTTTTTTTTCCTACACTGAGGATTGATCCCAGGGCCTCACACATTCTAGGCAAGTGCTCGCCCATGAAGCCACATCCCTAGTCCTTTTTATTTTGAGATAGTGTCCAGCTAAATTACTGAGGCTGGCCTTGAACTCACAATACTTCTGCTAAGCCTTCCAAGAAGCTGGGATTACAGAGGGGCATCACTGCACACAGTTGAGAAAGTTCTTAATTATTGAGAAAAATGGGTGAAAAAGTCATTAAAAATGTCTATGCACTTTGGCTTCTTTTAACTGAGTTCAAAAAAATTTTTTGTGCTTATGGTTGTTATTTTTTTGTTACATGAAACAAAACCCAGACATTGGGTTATTTCTTTTGAACTAGATTTCTGGTAAAAATTGCCCAAGTACCAACAAAGCTAAGACCATGAACATGAAAAAAAAATCATTTGCACAAACTAGAGCAATGATAGCAGAAACATATTTTACTAAAATATAAACTGATCCATGTCTCAGTTAAAACAGGGTCTGACAACCTTGTCTGACATTAGCCTGCTTTCAGAGCCTTCCTCCTTCCTTTCTTTGTTTGGTGCTGGGGATGAAACCCAGGGCCTTTTCCATGCCAGGCAAGTGCTCTATACCTTACAGCCACATCCCTAGCTCATAAAAGGCATTTTTAAAGAATGGTAAGGTAAAGAAAGAAGCTTCTGGCTGCCTCTCTTCCAGCAGTAAATATTTTTATTTTTAAATGCCCTGAGTGAAAAAAAAATGCCTGGGTGATACTGAATCAGGGCGTGTGGGTTGTTTGCTGGTGATGGGGCCCTGTGGGCATGACAGAGGAGCAAGGAGGAGGTATATTTGTAAGAAAATGCCACTCTAAAGGAATTGCGACAGCTTATGAGAGTGGAGGGCTCTGCTGGTGTGATCCTGTGATCCCAGGCCTGTAACTCAACTGCTCTAGGCCTTCTTTTGCTTGTACATAAAACTGCCGTCTGCTGAGGACTCAGAATTCTTGGATGGCTGATTTTGGATATTGTCTGGCTAGCAAAGCAAGGTATGTATCAAAGAGATTTTGCAATATGAAATAACATAAAGTTGAACACTGGAAGGGGTTTCATTTTTATTATAAAACAACAAAAGCATACCATTCCTGAAGTTCAGGAGAAGGGATGAGGCCTGCGGTTCCATTTTTGGAGTTTTCCAGTTTACCCTGCCACCAGTTGTGATCATCCTTACTAATAATTTGGATGATGTCACCAACTCTGAATCGAATGCCAGCTTCTTTGCAGGGGATGAGGTCATCCTTGGCTGGATCATATTCAAATTGTGCTCTTACATAGATCTATAAAATAGGAGTTTGTAAGAAAGGAGGCCATAGTGATGTGAAGGAAAACAATAAGCACTAATCTAATAACCACACACCAACACTTAAAGTACAAATAGGACAGAAGATGGGGAAAGCAAAAACGATGCATGGAAATACAACACAAAAGACTTTTCTACACCACTATAAACAATGTACTGCCTTTGATGTGTAAGGGTTCAAAACTTTGCTGTTTTTATTTGGAAGGAGCATTTAAAATACTCATTAATTAAAATAAATACTTCTTTCTGCTTTTAGTATAACTGAATAGGTCTGTAATTACAGAGAAGCATGCTTATCACTTTTTAAACCTACAGTTGTTATATTGATGTCATGGATAAGTTGTCATGACAACATGGCAGCCTTTGAGCCATAAAGACTAGCAGTCAGGGTAAGTCTTAACCCTAAAGCAGCACATTATATAAAACTAGCAAGAACTTTGGGCTGGTGTCTTGAAAAACAAGGTGTACATGACAACTGGCAGTGGGTACACTGCTAATAAACTTAAATGTAACTCAAGCAATTTTTTAAAAAGTCAGTTAAAAAAGGATTTAGGCTTTATACTTGTGTTTTATTCTTCTGAGAGAATGAAAAATAAATTTGAACCCTAGTTTTGCCAACATAACACTTGGAATCGGCACAGAACTTCAGGATATGTCTAGTTCAAAGCTCTGAGTTTTAGGATATGAATTTACTTAGCAAAACATCCAAGGGTTATAATATGGCAGCATTTTATGATTTCTAAATGCTTTAAAATAAGGTACTATAAACTGATGTTACACAGTCTTAGGACTAAACTGTGGATGAATTCTATCAAGTGCTAATTTATGCAATTCTGAATTCAATTTGAATTATTTTTAACACCACGTTTTAAGAAATAATTTCATAAAAAGTCTATCTCTTGAAATTAAATTTGAATATTAATGTTTAAGTCACTGTAAAACCAACCTGAAGGCTTTGGAACCATTGTATAATTTTTTTCTGTTTATTTTTAGCAATCCAGCCTATAAAATTAACGAGTTTCTGTATTTGCACCTAAACCCGTATTTTAAAAGTGCTGGCAATCTGAAAGTTACTTGGTAGTGTTAGACAGCACTTAACTATTCATATTTAAACAAATGCAGGTATATTAGGATGTAAAGCCAGGATGTTTATCCTCTTTCTCTTATTTTTAACTGTAAATGGTTTTTAGGAATACACATGCAATACAAAATGTTAAGAAAAAGCTTTCAACTTCAGAAAATTGTTTAAAAATGTTCATCAGCATGTATCTTTTGGTTATTTTTAGAATTTTATGGATTTTATAACCTTTAAAATTCTTTTCCACCCTAGAGCCAGCACATAAGACCCTTCAGGGCTGAAGTCAAAATTATCAGGTTGAAATTACAATAACCATCACAGCTACAAAGATGTGAGGAGCAAATCTTTATAGAGAATTAGTCACGTGTAATGTGTTAAAATGAAATGGTACAAACTCTCAATGCTCAAATGTTATGGTCCAAAATGCAGACATTATGGGATGGAAAGGGTTAATAAAGGATTGGCTATTAGCAGCTCAGTTTAGAGAAGTTTCTATAGAGGATATCTATTCACCTGTCGTCCTTTTGGTTGGGTAGTTGATGGCAAGTCCTGTAGAATAAAGCCAACCCAGGAGAAAAATTTTCATTTACTTGTCAAGAGCACAAGGTAATTTGTGTGTTCTGTTACAATATAGTTAAAAAATGAGCTAGATTTAAGTTGTAAAGAGATCATATACATTATTTCAGTTCTCAGAAATGTTGAGTTATCAAAAAAATCAAACCCAGGCCATTTAGCAGCAAGCTGAAGAAAGCAGGTAAGTTGAAGCAGAGAGAAAATGTGTTCTTAAGAACCAACTCAGCATCTTCAACACAAAAGCCACTGCAAGTGAAATAGCCTATATATATATTTTTAAAAAACCACCCCAAACTAAAAAGAGCTATTGCCCTTTTCAACTTAGTCACTGCAACCATTTAGATTTAGAAAAATTCAATGACTATATGGATTTCCACCATCTTAAAAGCATTCAACATTAAGTATTATAAATGAGTTCCTTTGGTAGCCTATTTTAAAGTTGGAAATAAAGTCATGGACAATTTTCTTTCAGAATTTCAGTTATTGACATACTTAGAATATCATTCCATTTGAGATGATTTTGAAGTTATTTACAATTTTCCTCGGCAAAAAGTTGATATATTATTTACAGGCAAGTTAAATATCAGTTAAAAATACTGCTGCATTCTCAGAACTATTTGATAATTTCAACTGGGTGACAGACAGCAGCATCAGCAACTTAGAGAAGATTTGGTTACCCCAAAAGATTGCAAACCTGCACCTGTAAGTGCTTCTGCTTATTTAAATAAATTAAGAACAATTCTTTCTGCATTCCAAAATGGATGGTTTGGAAAAAATGGAAAATTTCCACGTTCAAGTCAAATATAAAGTACTTTGTGTTAAAGATGTGATAACAGCGTGGCTTAAGTGCAGTTTGAAGCCAGTTCCTTTTGCTTTTCATATTCAGGCAAGGCTTATAATTCACAAAATATGTGCACGTACCACAATAACAGAGGGCACACCAATTCGTAAACTTAGATAGCGGAAACTAAACATGTTGCTGATATACCTCAGAATGGAAAACTACAAAGCCCGAGAACACCCAAATGCCTCCTCTGCAAAATCCTTACATTTCTTTATCTTTTCTCAAATTAAAAAAAAATATTAGAAATTTAAACAAATCTCCACTTAGATCCTTTGCATAGATTTGTGAAAAGTCACACATCCTGGTAGGGTGGCATAGAGATATTTCAGAATGACCACAGAAGTCTTGAGCTACATTTCTTCAAATGTAACGAATGCATGGGATTTTTAAGGAAAAGGAAATGTTTAAAAAGATTTTCCAGGAGTAAACTGCATTGTAGCTGTAGTAGCCTTGTATATCCGCAGGAGACAATATTTCCACTGAACACATGTAACTAGAACACTCATGGCAGGTGAGCACCAACAAAATTGTCACACTTTGCTGTGTGGAGCTAGAGTTCTTACCGAAACAGAATTGTTAGTGCTGCTATGACCATTAGCAGGGGACTGTCTGGAAGTGGAGGGGGAATCTCTCTGAAATAAGACACAAGGTTCATTAACAGCACAGAAACACAGAGAAATTTACATTAATAGTTACAACCACAGTCTGACAACCATTTCCTTTGAGGTTTGAGCTATAAAGCTGTCATACTGACTTACTTGCATGATTTCATAGAAGTATGAACGAAATTTTTGCAGTTTGGAGAGTCACATATTGTAAGTGACAACTTACAATACGTGAATCAATCATTTTTTTTTCTGTCTACTTCATTCTAAAATCTTTGCTTTCTTTTAATGAGACCCGGCAGAGTGATGCAATGTTAAAACCCTACCATGTATCATGAGATGACAAATATTACTATGAAATTGTTGTGCTGAAGATTCCAACTGCCTGATTTTTATTAAAGATTAGGTTTGAAAGGTCACTGATAGTTGGCAGGTACCTCAGTGTCAAGAATTACTGAACAACTCATGTTGTAATCACCTTAGTATCTTTCCAGAATAATTATTACTGATTAGGGCAAAAGATAGATATACACCCAAGAAGAACTCTTTTGCTTTGTATCATTTTAGCAGACTGATTAAAACAATGATCTGGAGCCTATATCAATGTTCTACTTCTGGCCAAGATTCTAGAAGCCACAGCTGCTCTTCCATACTCCTTGCCTGCATGCTCTCTGCTATTCAACACAGTCAAAATCCTTTCCTTCCCTTAGTGTCCAAATGAACTTTCATAAGAACAAGAATTGGAAGAAAATATGTACTTCTAAATTTTTTGGATTAGTAGAGTTCTTCTTAGCCTTTGATGTGTGTATTTTGGCTCAAAAGACATTTGTTTTTCTCCTAGAAGATTTGAAGAAAACATTTTAGCTTTAAAGGGAATCGGATCCTTTAGAAGGACATTCTCAAATATTAGTGAGTAGGCTGGTCTGCAGGTGCCACCCTTAGAGACTCAATTCAGCAGGGGCAGGGGGAGGGGCAGGGTCTACTTCTTTTACTAAAGGCCTGGGAGATGTAGGTGGCCCCAACGCCTTTCTTTAGGAAGTTTTGTCCTGGATGGGAAGAGTCCTGTTGCTTGCTTGAAGGCTGTATGACCACAGGAGGGGCAAAAAAGTTGGGGTGGAGCTAGGAGAGGAGTATCATTATTTTCTTTATTATTCAAAGGTAAAGAAGGTGAGAGGGAGTTTCTCCTTACTCAATAACATAGAATTTTCATGTATAATTACTGGTTGCATCCCCAAAACTAGTTCAACCACTTAAAAAAAGACAAACTTATGTTACATTAATAACTTATAATATATCTTCGGGTTAGTTAGCTTAAAAAATCAATTATATTTACTAAATTTATTCAACAGATGAGAAATGGTGTCAGGAACCTCTGGGATTTTAGACTATTAAAATTATTAACATAAAATGTACATGTGATATTCCCTCTTTCTGGGCAAGGTTTGTGCTTTAGATAACAAATTTCAATACTCTGAAGTCTGGAGTAGAAGCAGTTCTGCATTTTCTTTTGTAATCTACGGTTAATTGAAGTTCCCTAGGAAGCCACCAAGAGGAGCTCAAGACCCAATATAATGGACACCCCAACTGTCATGGCTCACTAAAAATATGCTTGACAAAACTACAAATTCATATGCATGCCTTGAAAAGGTTTGGAAAAAAAGGCTCTAATTTTTTTGTGAAACCAATAGCATCAACTAGAGTCTGGAAGAAATATTAAAATTTCTCCCTCAAATTCTTCTAAATACAAGTCCAAGAAATTGCCCACCAGCCTTCAAAAATTAACTTTAGATAATGTGTACCTCATGTAGATGTACACATACTTGGAAGATGCACATGAAAGAGCAAGCTTAATATATAATACCCCAGTGGAATGATACCAAAGAATGATACTGTCTATGCCAGTTTAAATCTCCAACTAGAAAAGGAAGAAATTTTGGAATCTTACTTAATAACCAACATAAACCTGAATAATATAGTTGGAAGAACTACAATTTCTATAGGATCAACCCTATTTTAAGAAAGAAACTTTGGGGTTGGTTACTCTAGAAAACTTACTTGCATACAAATTACTTAACATTCCAAATAGAAACAATATTACACAAGGTTGCAAGAGCCTCTATCCCTGTAGCCAAGTCAGTTACCACTGCAGTATCTATCTTGAGACCTGTCACAACTATTTGAACAACTCTATCTCAACAGAACTATAATATTTCTCAGATTCTTGGAACGAAGAACTATCTCTGTGATTTCTTAACAAGGGAAGTGAATGTACTTCCTGGAAATATTACTGCAATTATGATCTTTCTTATTTTTTTTCTCAGAGACTCCATTTTTTTTTCTTTATCAGGTCTTATGTCATTCTTTGCAGCTTTTCTATATTTGGCTTAGATTTCAGCCTGCAAAAAGTTCAAGTGCTGAGGAGATCCACATGAAAGCAGGGCTGTGTAGGTGGATGGGAACTCCTTTGTTCCGTTATCTTTGTTGTAAAATTGGTGTGCAGTGATCTAACAGCACAGGCAGAAACAATTTCCCAGAAAGCAAAAACATTCAGCCATCAGCAGACAGTTAGTTAGGAACTCAGAGGAGATGGGGGTGGTTTGTCAGAGTCATTACCTCACAGGACGAAGACTGAGTGCGGTAGCTTGGCACGATCTTGAAGGTAATACTCCCCCGCATTTCCCTCTGGAGGGACAAAAGGAGAGTTCTCTTACCGTAAATGTTGCACACCAAAACACAGAAGAAACCACTCAAAACATGTGGGAGCAATTAGCACGAGCCACCTGTCAGCACACAGCCCTAAAATGAAACCTAATTATAAAACCATGGGCTGTTTGAGTTTATAGTAGAAGTTTCTGGAAAAAGCCTTGCAAAGTCAAGGCCAATTGCTCTGAATCTAGCCCTGGTCTCACAGATATCTGACGATTACATCTTTTTATAGACATGAATACAAAACACTCTAAATGACATAATTTTCAAAAGTGACTCAAAATTGAACTAAACTAAGAATGACATAAAAATCCACTTGGTATATTATCTGTGGTGGAATATTCCAGAATATTTGCCTTTGACTTTATTAATTTTGGCTTTTTTATTGTAATGAATCTGCAGTGCTTATTTCATACTTAACAGGTACTCATGACATGGGGAGCTGCTACACTGCGGTAGGAAGAGGGACTAGAAGTCCAAAATCTCTCCTTCTGCTCACTATGACAATGAATCTAGGCAAGAGCCATTCGGTTTCTTCTTCTTTTAACCCAAAGTCTAATCTGAGCATAGATATTGGATAAGTACAGTCAAAATGCCTGGTCTACAGTGACTTTCCTCTCCTTTGTGCCCCAGAGAAATCCACTCAGCTAAAGAGGAAAGAGGTTTTTGACATTGCTTATGTCAGGAGAGTTGAGATCAGTGAAAAGCCAGTTCACATGAATACACACTGGAAAGTTTTTTTTTTTTTTTTTTTTAAATATCTGCTTGTAAGAAGTGTATAAAGGATAAAAGCAGAGTGTTATAGCCCACATGCTAAAGGCAGGCAAAATGTTTCCAAATTCGATTACATTTATTTTCCTAGTTGTTATTTTTTATGAATGTTGGAAAAGCTCACATAAATGACAGGCCCAGAAATACTGTGATTATGAACCAATACCCATTTCTTGTGTATTAAATAACAGATAATGAACTGAAAGTCTTAGGAAAAGGAAACTCATTTACTTACAAGCATTTTTTGCAGCTGTTCCACTGTTTGGTTAGCCACACTGATGCCATTGATTTCCCGAATTTCATCACCAACATGAAGTGTACCTAAAAGAGTCCACAAAATTACAAATGTAAAATGATATATGATAAAGTCCAAAGACAGTAATGTAAAAAATTCAGTTATCTACTGAAGGTCAATATTTTGGAAACAGTTACAAGTTTGGCTGCTGCAGAATTATTTAACTCATGCAGTCAGCTCACCAAAAATATACTTGTGGAAGGCACAGTTTCGATGGATGACCATGGAAATCTGATTATTATTTTTTTTCTGAGAGAGGTGGTGTGAATAGTGGTTTGAAAAGATGGCTTCGGGAGCTAGCCTGTCTGAGTTCACATTTCAGTTTAGTCACCTATGAGCTTTAAGATCTTGGGTAAGTTACTAAAACTCTCCATGCTCTAGTTCTTTTTTTTTTCACTTTTTAAAGTGGCAATAAAAATGGTACCCACCTCATTGGACTGCTTTGAGTTGAGGACTAAACCAATTTAATACCTATGGAGGGCTTAGAATTGTTCTTGGCATATGGAAAGTGCCCTGTAAATGTGTGTTGCAATTATTGTCTACCACTTCCATTCACTGTACTCTCCTCAGCCTTTGCAGACACCATTCTACTCTCAATTTGTACAAGATCGATTTTTTAGCTTCTACGTGTGAACGACATCATGTGCTTGTCTTTCTGTGTCTGATATATTCCACTTAACACAATGATCTCCATTTCCATCCATGTTGTTGCAAATGACAGGATTTTATTCTTTTTTTTTTTTTAAATGGTTGAACAGTGTTTCATTGTGTACATGTACCATGTTTTCTTTACCCCAAGATTCCTTTTAAAAATAGGAATGGGGGCTAGGGATGTAATTCAGTGGTAGAACTCTTGCCTAATATGCACGAGACCCTGGGTGCAACCCCTAGGACAACAAATAAATAGTAGATAAATAAATTAAAAATAAATACATAGAGAGTTTAAAGAAATAATGATGTTGTGCCGGGTGCAGTGGAGCACGCTTGTGATCCCAGCAACTGGGAGGCTGAGGCAGGAGCATCTCGAGTTCACAGCCAGCCTCAGCAACTTAGTGAGGCGTTAAGCAACTCAGTGAGACCCTGTCTCTAAATAAAATACAAAATAGGGGGGCTGGGGTTGTGGCTCATGGTAGAATGCTCGCCTAGCACCTGCGAGGCCCTGGGTTCGATTCTCAGCACTGCATAAAATAAATAAATCAAATAAAGGTATTGTGTCCAACTACAACTAAAAAATAAATACTAAAAAATAATTAAATTAAAATAAAATAAAATACAAAATAGGGCTGGGGATATGGCTCAGTGATCGAGTGCCCCTGAGTTCAATCCTAGTACCCATTCCCCACCAAAAAAAAAAAAAAAAAAAAAAAAAAAAAAAAAAAAACCCAAAAATATGTGCTATCTCCTGAAAGTAGAAGTGAATTCCCTTCAGGGTTGATTCCACCTTCAAAAAAGTCTGCTACTGAACATCCAGAAGCACAACAAGAAACCTGACAATATTTTTTTTATCTGCCTTCAAAAGTAATATATCTCTTATTTTTAGTTCAAGTAACTGCTTTTACTTAAGTGATTATATTTTTGCTCCAATTGAAGCTTAATGGAATTATAACTCTTAGGATAGTATTTTATAAATAAAGATGTTTATGAATCTTAAAAAAATATGTGCTATCTAAAGCTGAACATCCTCCTGTGTGAGTTCTGACTGTGATCTATGCCTATAAAAATTCCCCTGAAAGCAGCAGTCATGTCAGACACGATCTTTCACACACAATGGTCATCTCTAACGAGAATAAGGCACTAAAATGCTTAGGCTGTTACTTCTTGCTCTCCTGGGATAAGGAAAGAGGTTTTAAGTACAAAAATAACCCCATCTCAAAGAAAGAGAGCCTGCTAGGAGAATCATTTTTGGAACATCCTCTGAATACTAATGTGTATAACTCAGTCCTTTCAAAGGGGGAGCCTAAATCTCTATGTCCAAAATCCTGCCCACCCTTGAAAGTTAACTGAGGCTTCACTTTCTCAAAATATTATTCTTTAGCAACATCAGTCCTTAGTGAATTTCCTCTTCTGAATGACTGTACTTACTATATATATAGCAGGTTTTAAGAATTTAATTGTTAATTTGACATCTCTTATTTTACCATTTAATTTTTATATTATTTATCTAATTGTCTGTTGTCCTCATTTATAAATAGCATATCACTTCTGAACGAGTAAGATCAATTCTTAAGCTGTTATTTAACTTTTTATATGTGTATGTGTATTCTGAATAGATATTTTCCCTATATCCTGCAATCCTATGTAATATTTTGCTTTATCTCCTATGGTCTTTATTTATTTATTGCTACTGGGGATTGAACCCAGGGGTGCTGTACCACTGAGCTGCATCCCCAGCCCTTTTTATTTTTTATTTAGAGTCAGGGCCTTGCTGAGTTGCTGAGGCTGGCTTTGAACTTGTGATCCTCCTGAGTCACTGGGATTCAGGCATGAGCCACCAAGTATAGCTCTTACAGTCTTTTTTTTAAATATATTTTTTTCACTTCACACTCATAAGGATGGTTATTTTTTAATGTTTATTTTATTTATATGTGGTGTTGAGGATCAAACCCAGGGCCTCACACGTGCTAGGTGAGCGCTCTACTGCTGAGCCACAATCCAGCCCGCCCCCCTTGAACAGGTCTTTTATGTGGATTGTAAGAAACACTGACTTCATAAGGCTACTGGAAAAAGTTAAGGAAGGCAAAGAAAGAATTATAGATGAAACTTACCTTGCCTGTGAATCATGCCCCCGTGCATAATTCTTGCAACAATACAATGATTTAGCTCATTCATTTTTAAAGTGATTCCCTATAAAAAGAAAGCCCAGGAAAAACAGAGTTAGTTTAATGGAGCACTTCTTCTTAAAAATTTTTATTAGTACATTATAGTTATACATAATTGTGGGGTTCATTTTGACATATTCATAAATGCATAACATACTTTTTTCTTCATTTCAATTCCCAGTACTTCCTCTTTTCCTCCCCTCTTCCCTCCCCAATCCCCTCTATTCTTCTTTCCTTTTTTTTTTAAACCTGGTGCATTACAGTTATATATAAAATTAGAATGAATCGTGATATATTCATAAATGCATGTAGCATAATTTGGTGAAGAGAGCACTTCTTTTATATTTGTGATTTTGCTGTAGGTAATTTTAATTACCAAGAGTTAGGAAAATATTAAAAGAAAATATGGAAAATAAATGCCCTCCATTATTCTACATACAAAATAAATGTTCCATAACACAAAGACTATCTTGATATTTTGATTGCTATAATAATGGCATGCATACACTGTATGTAGTGCTTTCTAATCTTCTAATTATAATGATTAAAACTTCATCATTTTATGATTATCTTTCCATGTTGCTTTATTTTTCATATTGCCACTTTCCTTCCTCCCTCTCTCCCTCCTTCCCTTCCTTCTTCCTTCCTTCCTTCCTTCATTTCTCCCTTTCCTTTTCCCTTTTTTGGTGCTGGAAATGGAACCCAGGGCCTCATTCATGCCAGGCAAATGCTCTATCACTGAGCCACACCCCCGGCCCCCAATATTTTTTCACTTTTGTTTTGTTTTGGGACAGGATCTCACAATGTTGCCCAGCCTGGCCATGAACTTGTGATCTTCCTGCCTCGGGCTCCTCAGTAGCTGGGACAACAGGTGGATGCCACCATGCCCAGTCTTGCCAATTATTTTCAAAAAAATTTTTATTGATGTTTAATGAACACACATATTTAAAGTGTACAATCTGACAAGTTCAACATATGTATACATATGTGAAACTATCATTACAACCAGGATAGTGACCATATTTCTCACCCCAAATGTTTTCTCATGCCTGTTGGTATTCTCCTCCCATCTGTCCATGTTCTCCCCTCCTTCTTCCCCAAGCAACCACTGACTGGCTTTTGCTGACTATAAATTAGTTTGTACTGTATATAGATGGAATCATACAGTGTATACTCTTTTTTTTGTTGTTTCTTTCTTTCACTCAGCATAATTATTTTGAGATTCTATCGTGCTATTGTTCTTGCTGAGTAGTATTCCATAGCATGGGTGTAGGAGTTTGTTCATCCATTCACATGTTGCACTGCTTCTAGTTTTGGGCTATTATAAGTAAAGCTGTATTCCCAGGTTAATCTCCATGAGGTCATAATATCCTCTTTTTTAAAGATATGGAGGTGGATGCCTTGGCATTTTTTTGTAATCCCAGTAACTAGGGAGGTGGAGGCAGGAGGATTGCAAATTTGAGGCTAGCATAGCAACTTAGCAAGACCCTGCATCAAAATAAATAAAAAAGGCCTGGGGATATAGCGCAGTAGTAGATCACCCTTGGGTTCATTGACCAGTATCTCTCTCTCTCTCTCTCTCTCTCTCTCTCTCTCACACACACACACACACACACACACACACACACACACACACACACACACACACACACACATGATATGGAACACTTTATACATTTGTGTATCATCTTTATATGGAGGCCATGATATTATTTTCTCTGTTGCTTATATTTTAGCATATGTGCTGCTGAAGTGAGTACCTACTAACATTTTCATATTTTGTTTGCTAAAATTTTGTCTAGAATTTTTATTTCTATATTCATGAGGGACAGAAGTCTGCAGTTTTCTTGCCTTGCAATGCCATTATTTGGTTTTGGTTTCAGGGTAATGCTGGCTTTATAGAATAAGTTGGAAAAAAATTCTTCCTTTCTCTCTTTCTCTTTTTTTTTTTTTGTACCAGGGCTTGCACCCAGGGGTGTTTAACCACTGAGCCCCCAGCCTTATTTTGCATTTTATTTAGACACAGGGTCTCACTGAGTTGCTAAGTGCCTCACCAAGTTCCTGAGGCTGATTCTGAACTCGAAATCTTCCTACCTTAAGCCTTCCGAGTTGCTGGGATTACAGGTGTGTACCACTGCGCCCAGCAATATTATTTCTTAATTATATGCTTGGTAGAATTCACCAGTGAATCCACCTTGGTCTGGAGTTTTCTTTGAACCATTTTTTGCCCCTCAGTGGTGGGGATGGAACCCAGGACCTCACACATGCCAGGCAAGTGCTCTACCACTGTGCTACATCCCAGCACCTGAGGGAGGGTTTCAAAATACAAATCCTATTTTTAAATAGATAAAAATTCTATTTTTAAATGTATAGAGAAATTCAGTTTATTCTTTGTAAAGTGAGTTTTTGTAGTTTCTGTCTTGTAAGGAATTTTTCCATTTCATCTATGTTGCTGAATTTATTAGCATATACCTATTTTCTTTTATTTTTTAAATTACAAGTCTATGTTTATTTTTAACATTAGAGAGAAAGGTTATCTTTACAATTTTATTTTGTATACACATTTGCTGAAAATCAGTGAATTTCTAGGCCAGGTTCAGGTAACTGAAGGGCCTTTATAAATACTTTATATTGTCTAGACCCAAGGTGTGCTGCAAACATAGTCTGAAGTAAAATGGGAAATAACATCTTTCTGAAGATAGGCTTAGAAACTTTAATCCAGTAAGTTGAGGTGTTTCCTTTCTCTGGTAGCAGGGCTGACTGATGCCTGGCTGCTAGGCCACCATTTACAGGTACAGCCAAGAAAACAGGGTACAGACCTCCTAAAACAAAACTAACAAGTCCACCTCGTGCCATGGTGCAGGTTTCACAATTCAAATCACCTGTACTCAACGGTAAACTTACAAAACCTCTGAAAGATGCATTCACTGCCAAAAATGGGAGCACTGCCATTGGTAAGCCAGCAGCTATTCTGGCCCATGTTACATGCAAGACACACCAAGAAAGACTGCTTGCTATTCTATTAGGCCACAGAGAGCAGCATTAAATCCAATACATGTGGATCCATGTTCAAGTAGGTGCCTTTCTGCTTCTGGTAGTAAGTTCAATTTTTCTGGCTATGATGTCAAAAACTGAGTTTTCCTTGATAGTATCATGTGGTTTATGGGTTTCCATCTTGATCCTGCTGCTCTCCTCCCAATAGCCGGTGCTTCACCAGTTCTTCTAACATGCCTGCTGGGGCTTAAGACACAATCTTTACTCCGTTCCTTCTGGCTCAGCCATCTTAGGCAGAAATGTGACTCGGAGGTAGAGGATGCTTCCTGTTGAATGGCATCCTCGGAGGGAGAGGCTGGGCGGGTCGGTTGTCATAAATCTATTTTCTTATTTTCCTTTTTTAAATACTGTAGTGATACCCTTCTCTCATGCTTGTTATTGGAGATATATATATATATATATATATATATCTACATATATATGTTCTTGCTGAGTAGTATTCCATATATATATATATATATATATATATATATATTTTTTTTTTTTTGCAGTACTGAGGATGGAACCCAGAGCCTTGCATATGTTAGGCAAGTGCTCTATCACTGAGCTACAACCCCAGTCCTTTTTATTTTTTGTTCTCAAACAGGGTCTTGCTAAGTTTCTGAAGCTGGCCTTGAACTCAGCCCTCCTGAGTAAGTGGGATTACAAGTGTCTACCTAACTGGTTTTGGTAATTTGTATTTTTTTCTTTTTCCTGATTGTGCAGTCATTTGTCCTGATTAGTCTGATCTTCTCAAAGAAAAAAAATGTGTTATTTGTACTCTATTATTTTTCTCTTTTCTATTTTATTGATGTTTATTTGATCCTTACTTTTATTTCCTTGTACTCATTTTGAGTTTAGGTTTTTTTTTTTCCTTCTCTCTCATTCTGTTGTTTTAAAGGTGGAAGCTGGGGTCACTGATTTGAGATATTTCCTCTTTTTTAAAATAGTGCTACATATTTCTCTCAAGTACTGTTTGTAATGGCATCCCACAAATTCTGATATGTTATTTTCATTCACTTCAAAATACTGTTTAATCTCCCTTTTGATTTCTATTTTTAGCCATTGGTTATTTAGAATTGTTTGATTTAGTTTTCAAGGACTTGGGGATTTTTCTTTTTGTTATTAATTTCTAACTTAATTTCATTGTGATCTGAGAATATACTTTCATATTAACAAAGTCACTCCAGGTTCTTTTGGAATAATATTATAATAGAATATCTTTTCTTATTCTTTGACTTTGAACCTATTTTTCTTAATGTATAAAGTACATTTTTTTTTTTGCAGGCAGCATCTGCAATCTGATAATCTCTGCTTTTTAACTGGTGAATTTAGACTATATTTATGTTAACATGATGCTAATGATGCTAATGATGCTTGTTTTGGTATAAGAGTGGCTTAACCACTGAGCCACATCCACAACTTTTTAAAATATTTTATTTAGAGACAGGGTTAGGCCTTGCTAAGTTGCTGAGGCTGGCTTTGAACTCCTAATCCTCCTGCCTCAGCCTCTCATGCCTCTGGGATTATAGACATACATCACTGTGTCAGAGTAATGTGATTATTAATATAGTTTGTTATAAGTGTATCTTCCTACTATTTGAGTTCTACTTGTTCTACCTATCTATGTTCCCTTCTATCTCTTTTTCTGCCTGGATTATTTTTATTCTTTTTTCTCTTCTGTGTTGTCTTATTAGCTATAGCTCTACATTTTGTTATTTTAGTGGTTGTGTTAGACTTTACAGCATACATATTTAACTTACCAGTGTGCCTTCAAGTGATACTATACCACATCGCATATGGTATAATATAATAGTAAACTTAATTTCTTTCCTCCTGATCTTTGTGTTATTATTGTCTTACATTTTACTTTTACCTATGTGTAGCACATGATTATTTTTGTTTAAACTGCTAAATATTTTTGATAGATATTTCAGTGATAGCTTTCTGTTTCTTAGAGATCATTGTCCTTTGTTACTTGATGTCCAATGCCTTGAAAACTGTTCTTTTATGGAATATAATGTTTTATATTTAAAAATAATTTTATATTTTTGATTGTTTCAGATTAGAGGGTAAACCTGGTCCCTTTTATTCCATCTTGGTCATAAGTGGATGTTTCACAGTCATATTTAATGTCATAACACTATTCTATGGAGTAGACTATTTTTTGTTTTCTCATTATTCACTATTAAAAGACAGACATACTTTCCTCCTTCCCTCCCTCCTTCTCTCTTTCTCTTTCTTTCTTGGTACTGGGAATTGAACCCAGGGGTGTTTTACTGCTGATACACATCCCCAGCCCTTTCTTTTTCTTTTTAGATAGAGTCTTGCTAAGTTGATTAGGACCTTGCTAAATTGCTGAGGATGGCTCTGAACCTGGGATCCTCCTCCTGAGCCACTGGGATTACTGGAGTACACTACCATGCCTGGCAAAAGACAAACTTTCATAAACATTTTTAATTGCACCAGATCACTTGATCCTAAGACTCACACAAGGAACATGTAAGTAATACTGACTCTTAAGTTCACTCTTTAGATTTAGATTCAGGAGGCCTGGAATGGAGCCCATAAATCTATATTTTTAACAAGGTACCTTGATTAAAAAGTGGCCTTGAATTTGAGATAGTTAACAGTAGGAACCTAATCTTGTCTCTTCATTGGAGAATTACACTTGGTCAGAAAACATCATGGAAATATTTGGGAATTTATATTTTAATTTATATAATTCCACAAAATATAACTTTGCATGGTTCCTATTTTTCAGTTCTCAGAAGTAGTAGGTGAGTGATGTGGAAAATTAGTTTATCAAAATGTTGTTGTTCCCAACATTCAATTGTAATGTTCAAGTTTCATTTCCAATTTGTACTTTCAATCAGCATGTATGGTTACCAAGAGAAGTATTCCTGGAAAAATGCGTAAAAAATGTGTAAATTAATGTGTAAGTCAATTCTAATTTCATAAGGGATATGATAATACAGTGGAGGTTCCACCCTTGAAACTAATAGATTTATGTGTTCATTTAACAACCATGAATATGAACCTATTATAGGGCAGGTACTCTATTAGACAAAGTAGTAAATGAGATAGATAGGGTCTCCCAGGGTTAGGGGAAAGTTGCCTCAGAACAATTGTAGTTAATATGAAAAAAATTCTATCTACATCAAACATTTCTCTGTAGAGAGACACTGACTCATGTTCTCTCTGTTCCCAAGTTCACAAATTCTGGGGAAGGAATTAGCCGGCCTTGAGTTAGGTGCCTACTCTGGAACCTTCCTGAGGTGTTGGGGTGGTGGTGTACATTTCTGGCTTTTCATTGTTTACATAAGCCTTTCCCCTAATGTGTAAGATAGTTCAAGTTTGGTCTTTTGTCACTTGCCACTATGGGAGTAACAGTCAATAGAGAAATAATTACAAGTATGATGTTATGAACCTGGAAAGCACAGGGTGTAATGGGAGTGCATCACCCTTTGAGAATGGATGCATTACAGGGGGTCCATAAGCCAAAACAGGCCATAGAGATTTAATCTGCACAGAAATGTAGGGCTTTGAAGAAGAAAAATACGTGAACAGATATATTTGTATTAAGCATAAGAGATTTATATTCTATTATTGAGAATATATTTTACATGAAAGGACTTTTTATGGCAATCAGTCAAAAGAAAAAATATACACCTGACACTATGACCACAGAAGACAAAAGAGAGAAGGGCTTTTTCAAGACTTTTAGACCATTTAATGCTTTCTGAAAAAGTATCTTGGCGGGGTTGGGGCTGTAGCTCTGTGGTAGAGCACTTGCCTGGCATGTGTGAGGTACTGGGTTCGATTCTCAGCACCACATAAAAATAAAAAAAGGTTCACCAACAACTAAAAAAAAAAAAAAGAACATTAAAAAAAAGTAACTTGGGGACATAGTTTTATGCTGTTACTCAGTCTGTGTTTCTGTGTAGTCAGCCTTCAGGCAAAAGACCAAGCAATTCATTGGGCTGCTTCAGAGGCTAATGATCATGTGATACCTTGGGGCCTTCTCGTGGTTCCTTCTACCTTTTTGTCTGCTTTGCTGGGCTGAACATCACACCTTCTTCCAGCCTCACCAACACAGTTCGTTCTCCCCTCTAGCTCTGTCATAACTGGGCTTATTAATCTGTTAAGCTGAAAATGTACTCGCTCATTGTAGCCAGGTCTTGTGGAAAGCAAGCTCTAGGAAAGGGCTGTGTCTTATCTGCCACAACATCACTGGCATTATATTAAATGCCAGTGATTTGTACATGGTGGCGGCTTAAATGTTTGCTGAATGGGTGAATGAATATATAAAATGACTGAAGGGAATATTTAACTTTCAGAGCTAGGAGGGATGTTGGGGATCGTGTAGTCGTATGTGCTTTTAGAGACGAGCAAACTGAGGCCTATAGGCCTTAGAGCTGCTGCCACCCATGCTCTTAAGTCAAAGAGTTGCCTAGAGAACACCAGAAGGGGCGAGATGATCTGCATGCTCCCTGCCCACTGCAAGATAATAATATACACCCAGTGACTTGGGAGGCTGAGGCAGGAGGATCACAAGCTTGAGGCCAGCCTCAGCAATTTAGCAAGGCTCTAAGCAACTTAGACCCTCTCTTAAAATAAAAAAAATAAAAGGATTGGGGATATGGCTCAGTGGTTAAGTGCCCCTTGGTTCAATCCCCAGTATAAAAACGGAAGATAATAATATACAATGAATAAAGAATAGCTAATAAGAATAATAATAAGAAATGTCTAGTGTTGAAGTTTTTCTGGAAATTGTGGTCACAGAATCACTACTCTGTAACTCTTCCTTTAATCTGGAAGGCAATTGGTCAACTTTCTTTTTTAATAGCTGTATTTTATGTATGTATGTATGTATGTATGTATGTATGTTTTATGTGGTGCTGAGGATTGAACCCAGTGCCTCATACATGCTAAGCAAGTGCTCTGCTACTGAGCTACAACCCCATGCCCTGGGCAACTTTCTTAAGTACACATTTGTTTTTCTATATTCCAATATCCCTTTTCTATGCATACATAAGTTTGAATTTTTTTTCCCCTAAAGACATGATCCTTCCTCCAAACATGTCCCATGTGCTGGGGATCGAACTCAGGGCCTTGTGTATGCAAGGCAAGCACTCTACCAACTGAGCTATATCCCAGGCCTTAATTTGTTCACTTCTTTCCATCTTGACATGCACTTCTCTATTTCAGAGTCCCAGTATCTCTCCCCTGTACTACTGCAGTAACAGTCTCTTAGCTATAGTCTTCCTCTTATCCCATTTAATATATTCTCCAGACTGATATCTCTAACATGAAATGTAATTTATCTCTGTGCTTCAAACCTTTGAATACTTTCCCACTGTTGTTAAGATAAAGAACAGACTCCTTAGCAGGCCTTTTACACTTGTGTGGTCCGGTTGTGGCCAACCACCTTGCTGTCTGCAGTGGAGTTATGGAGCCTTCTTTCCATCTTGAAACTATGCTAAACATCTTTTTCACTGCCAGGTTCCTGCATGTGCTATTTGGTTTGCCTTAACAGTGTCCCCTTCTCCCCCTTCACCCTTTCTCTGCTCAGTTACCATCAACAAGCCCTTCCAGGATCTTCTCAATTCTATGAGAATGAGGTAAGGTTCAGCCTCAATTCTATTCCAACTCTATTCCTCAGCGCTGAGAAAATTAATTCACATTAAGTGGGCAGATGTGAATGGAAGGAATCTGATTTTAGCAATGTTGTTTGATTCTTTGAATGCCTTCTGAATTAGTCCCTTTCCCTTTAATTTTGTTGAAGGCAAAAGGTCTGGTAGCACCAGATTTGTAAAAGGATGTTTTATTACAATGCATTAGATATTCACTTTCTTAACACCAATACTAGTACTTCAAACTGTCCCTTTCTTTGCTAACCCAGAGATTTTTACATTCTGGGGTAATTTGCCAATATGATGTTTTTGTTTTGTTTTGCTATGGTGTGTGTGTGTGTGTGTGTGTGTGTGTGTGTGTGTGTTGTGTAAGGCTGAAACACAATTTTGAAAGGAAACATGTGAAGGACCAGCATGTCTAATACATGGTGTGAGACAGAACAATTCTAGGAAAGGACAAGGTGGGGAACTGAAGCTGTGAGAACTGATTTCTTTAGAACTACCCATGTCCTCCCTCTCTCCTCCCTCCTACCTCCTTGCAGTAGTTAGGTTGAAGTTAGTGGATCTAACTTAAGCTGGGATTTATGAGAGTATAGGAAACTTTCTTTTGCCACTTACCATTGGTTCATCCGTGTTCTTCTGGAACTGTACCAGCCGAACTCTTGTTACATTCTCCATATCCATGTCTCCGTTAGCGCTTTCTGGAGAATCACCGTTTAAATAGGGAGAGGTGGGAGGAGGTGTGACCCTCAATGCTTCATCACTGTAAACTTCATGAGCCACTACGTCGTGAGTCTGAAGTAAGGCCTAGTATTTTTATGAAAGAAGACAAATATTAATAACATTATCATTCCTGCAGAATTCTGCTATAGGAATGCACATAAAATTATTTTTGACCTCTCAAAGATCTCTCTCATCTAAAGGAAACTCAAAGTGAATTACATCTACATATAACCATTATTTGTGGCAAATAATCTTGAACAATGGATTTTTCTTTTGTAAAGAATGAATGAGGGCTGGGGTTGTGGCTCAGTGGTAGAGCACTTGCCTTGCACATGTGAGGCACTGGGTTTGATCCTCAGCACCACATAAAAATAAATAAACAAAATAATGATATTGTATCCATGTATAACTAAGAAAAATTTAAAAAAAGAATGAATGAATCAGTAAGAGAACAAATCAATAAGTAGATGTATTTTATTACCTGGGTTAAAGGTGTTATCCAATGTTATGAAAATGTAACCAACTAACTTGTTCAAATAAAGGCTGACATACTGAAATTTCAAATAATTTAGCAAAAATAATCATCTTAAAAAGAGCTGGCAAATTTCTATTGGGGCTTAAAATTAAAACAAATTTAAAAATAAATAGTGCAATATTTGGTGCATTAAACAACTATCTTTCATCAATGGTATTAACAATATGACTTATATAACACAAAAGATGAAGACAATTTATATGACTTGGCAAAAGAAATAAAAAAGAGTGTATAATATTTGAAAAAAATGTAATTTCATATATGCTATGGAACTCAAAATGTATTTAATGTTTCTGTTCATTTCTAATTTTTGGAGCATTTGCCCAAACAAAAAAATAAGCTGCAAATTATCGAGTTCTTTTTGCAAAACCCATTAACAAAGAAAAAAAATTATTTCTTTGTACTGATTTATATATGTCATCTTGGTGAACCTGGATGATAAATATCCCTTGTTTCCATAAAAAAGGATATTCTCCTAGTCACTGCACTTTATGTGCCATCATAAAAAAACATTTTTTAATAAGCATGAGTATTTTAACATTTTTATTTCAAAGAGGATTTATAGCTGAGTATCAGTCTGTTTGGAGCTTTACACAGACTGTATTTTCTTTGTGTGCTAATTATAAACTTAATTCTAATTTAATTTGTAATCTGTGTGGTAATGAAATATCTGCAGATAATGAAATGCAATTAAAATTGCTTTCCAAGTATAACCTTTGGCATCTGAAATTAAGTTATTTAATTAAAAGGCTTATCAAAGTCATGACTTGGCTATTTTAATTTGAAAGGTGTGCATATGAGGCAAAAATAAGGCAACAATTGGTAAAATCAGAAAGGAGATGGTGCTGATTTCTCCACAGTAGAGAATATGTTTTGAGTAGTGTATGCATTGGGGTTTCTAATGGAAACAGCAGATATTTCCAAGATCTCAGCTGGCTGGTCTCAACTCGGGTTTGGGTGAGGGTAGCTAAGGGGTACTAAGCAATGCATAGCTTCAAATAGGGCTCCATAACGACCCAGGGGACCATAGCTTCCTCATCAGTGCCTTGATGGCACCCTGTATTGCTACTCCCAGGCCCATGTGGAGATTATGTCATGTGAGCAAATTCTTCTCTTTCTGGTTTAATTGTGGCCACTTAAAAAACTAAGATTTAAGGCAGAAAGCAAAACTCGGTAATAGGCCAACTGAAAAGCTTCAATTGCTAAAAATCAGGTTCATCATACTATGTAGAGATATGTCTTTTATAACTGGTGTTTTTTTTAAATTTTTTTCTTTTTTCTTGGTACTGGGGAATTGGACCTAGGGGTACTTTAACCACTGAGCTATATCCTTTGCCCTCAAACTTTAATTTATTTTAAATTTTGGTATTCCAAAATTAATTGGAATACCAAAATTAATTAATTTTGGTCTTGCTAAGTTGCTTAGGGCCTCTCTAAGTTGCTGAGGCTGGCTTTGAGCTTGTGATCCTTCAGCCTCAGCCTCCAGAACTGGGATTATAGGTGTGTGCCACCATGCCGGGCCTAACTAGTGATTTTTAAAAAACATGCTTTGTCTACATAGGCATAAACAGGCAGCCATGCTTACATCAGGATAATGCCAGTCTTTGAAGCTATGTGTGTTGAAGAAAATGTTTACACTACTTTTTTTGGCAAATGATTTGTATTTACCCTTTAAAATTATATAAACAAATGCTTGCATTTAATATATTATTTATAAGGAGAAATAAGCTCACAATCATAAAATTCATAAAACTAAATAAAATCATAAAAATTAATTTTAAAAGAAAAATGCTTAAATGATGTCACCAAATAAGGAACTTGATACTGACCACAATTAGTCACTGTAATAGATTGCTGCCACAAAATAAAATTTACCCTCAAGTTCTAGTTTATATGCAAACAGAAAAAAGGGGCCCACTTACAGATTAAAAAAATTTTAAAAAGAATATGCAAAATAAAGAATAGAGAAATCAAAGTTTGAGTGTTTTCCTTCAAATGTGTTATGAGGTATGACTGAGCAATTGTTACAAAGTTGACAATTGTTACTAATAGCTGTTAGTTTTAATTACATAAGGAGTAATTAATAGGGAAGAAACACTTTGTACTGTGATAACAGTATGTACAAGATAACTAAAAAGACTAGAGTGGCAAAAAAAAAAAAAAAAAAAAAAACCAACCAAAAACTGATTACCTTAAAATGAACAGGAAAAATAGGATTTTTTTTTTTTTTTTTTGGTTTGAGAAGTGGTTCGTCTGATGTTTTAATTATAAACCATAAAACTTACTACTTTATAATGAAACTTTTGTGACAACCTAAAGCTTTGCAAAAAGCTGGAAATAGGCTTTGTTTTTAAAAATTCTTCCATACCACTCTATGTCCTATTTTTTAAAGAAAAAATTTAAAGCATTAACTTTCTATCCAGGTAATGTATAAGGAATTTGTCTTTAATGCTTTGTATTTTACAACTGCAATGAACAGAAGAATCGTACTTTTGAAAAATCAGTCTTTTAGATGGAATCACTGAAAAAGGAGTTAGTGAGATAATATTCTTTTTTATCATGACCTCTAAAGATACAGTACAGATTTAAAGTCACTTGAATCTATCCTTGTTTACTCTCCTAAAGTTACTGTAAATATTTACAAATATCTGAACTGTAAGTGTCAGATAATCAATCCAATGTTAAATCCTCATATAACAGGGATCAGAAAGCAAAGAAAAATCCAGATACTTGAGGAAATAAGTGTGAAACTGTAAATATGCTAAGAACAAAAATATTGTAAGCATTAAAATATTCCCCTTTAGCTATTAATATTTCTTTTTTAAAAAAATCCAAGATTTTAAAATCATCATTTAAAAAAATGTTTACAAGACAGAACTATCCAGCATTTCAGATTTTACTTAACATGCATCTATCTATCTATCTATCTATCTATCTATCTATCTATCTATCTATCTATCTATCTATCTATCTCTAACTCAGGATTATATTTCCCATATGGGACATTATCCACACGTTTCTTTGGGAAAGACCAATGTGTTCAACTTAAGCTTATAGGAGAACTCATCAGTATAACAGATCAAGCCACTTTTAAGAGCATTGGCTTAAACTTTAGTGAAGCCACTCACTCACTGGTGGGTGACCTTAAACAAGTCTCTTTGCCTTATTAGGCCGGTTTCTTCTCAGCGAGGGTTAATCACACTACCTCCCTTCTCAGTCATGAGCAGTCCTGTTGTAGCCAAACCATCTCCAATACAGAGCCCTAATCTGCCCATTTTCTACCATCCCCAGTTTTCTCCAGGCCTCTACTGCCTCTCAGCTTTATAATTGTTTCTCCACCTTTATCTCTTATTACCCCTATCATCCCTCCTCTACACTTAAGCCCCTGGAATCATGAAAGCATAGATATTGGCTATTTTCCTGTTTGTAATCACCTATTGTCTTCTTACTGCAATCAGGAGAAAAAAACAGATTCTTTCCCATGGCCTGTAAGACTCTCCTTGGCCTGGCCTCTGCCAACCTCTCTCTCTCTCTCCCCCCTCTTTCTTTTATAAAAATAAATAAATAAAATAAAGGTATTGTGTCCATCTACAACTTAAAAAAAAGAATGGAATCCTAATTAGAATAAAAAAGAGCCTATGCTTGTATAATACTATCAAAATGGATTCTACTGTCATATGTAACTAAGAAGAGCCAATAAAATAAAATTAAAAAAATTACACCAGATATAGTAGTAATAAGAACATGGCTTTAAAGTCAGATTTTCTTCTAAAAGGTCAATCAGCTAGGTTTTCAACTTTTTGCATGTATTCTACATATACAGATGTGGCTAATATTTTAAAAATGTTAGATTCAACATGAATTTCCATCTGTAATTGTGTTGTTGAATTGTGGTTAAATGTATAACTATGAACTTCTTTCTACAGAAAAGCATATCTATTTTAAGTTTTGTTTAACCATTTAGCTTTATAATAATTGGCTAAATATAGGTGCTGTTCTTACACAACAGAATTTTCCATACAATAGAAGTGAACGAAGAAAGTTCGAGAGTTTTGCACTGTCAGAGAACAGATGTAAATCTTTCAATATATCACCTATGTTCAGAGAATTCTTTATCAGCAAAAATTGTCTCTAATTTTAGCTCTTTGCTGTTTAGGTAATAAACAGTTCCAGTGACTTAAGGATGTTCCTGCAAGGAAACAAATTCCTTGTCTGAGGACTACACAGCCCCTAAAGAGCCATTCCACAAGCCACATCTTTGTAATAGTGATACAAAGTAAATAAAAAGGATTTTAAAGTATTTGGTATTACTTGGTCTTATGATCTTAATAGTCTGATACCATAGTCATTTGGTCCCCAATGGACCACATATATGATGGTGATCCCATAAGATTTTAATTGATCTGGAAATTTTCTATGATCCAGTGACTTCTGTAAACAAACCTACTCTGGCATCAGTTGGATAAAAGTGTAGCACGTATAATTATGTACAGTACATAATACTTGATAATGATAATAAACAGTGATGTTATTGGTTCATGTATTTACTATAGTACACCTTTTACTACTATTTGAGTATATTCTTTCTATTTACAAGAGAAAGATTTCCTATAAAACTTGTATGCCATATTATGCTGGCAGCATCCTCAGATGCCTGGTGTTAACTGTGTCTCTTGATTGCATACATTTCTCTTGTGTTTGATTTAATCTACTATTATTTCATCATGGCCCTAGGAGCTTCGAACTACAGCACACATATCAGATTGCATAGGTTTGTAGTAGTCTATACCACCCAGGTTTGTGTAAGGGCACTCTGTGATGTTCTCACAATGGTGAAATTGCCTAATGACACATTTCTCAGAATTTATCATTAAGCAACATATGACTGTATATGGATAAAAATGCATTTGATGAAGCTGCCGGTATTTTCTGAGGGCTATTAAGAACAAATGGAGGTTTTCAGTTATATGGAAATTTAATTGTTACTTACCATGAAATGAGGTTGTGTTAAGATACGCTTTAGTTCTTTTGCATCATTATTCTCAGGGTAACATGAAATTTCTTCCAATACCTAAAAAATAATCAAGAAATAGCAATGAGAACATGATAAGAGATTGACAAACAATGGAATTCTTTTACATTAAAGTCCATGAGTGGATTTTTGTGTCAGGCAAAACAATTATTTTCCAAAATTCTTCATTTTATTCTAAGGTTATTAATATTCAAAATAATGGTACTTATGACAATAAAGATGAAACAAATTCATATAATAGTTTGGTTACATTACCCAACTATAAACACAAAAGGTCACTGAAAGATGCAAAATGACAGGCCTATAATACATATTTATAACAGGTTTAAGTAGCTGAATTAGCTTAATGAGAGAATAGCTTCCAAACTCATCACCAAAATCAATTTGTACCAAAAGTTAATAACAGTTTCTTTTGTATTAACAGCACTGCCAATTACTTTTAGAAAGATGACATAGGCTCAAATAATAACTATTTAAAGAATACCAGTTAATTAGAATAGTTAATTAATTCAAAATATACTCAAGTAATTTTCTTTATAGTAAGGCAGGATTAATGCTATTTTCCATGCTCATCTCCCCATATGGATTAAACCATGCTTCTGTCAATGGCTTCTGGGATTAAATGGCAGAGAACCCAAGAACAATGTTAAAAACCTTCTTCTCTCCTGCTACTCAAATTTTCTTCACTAATTAGTTGTTAATATTTTCCCTGCTCTCGTGAAAATGGCATTTTAAAATAAAATAGTTCTTCAAAAATAATCTGTGGTGAGCCGTTCCTGCGGACTGTGGTCGCCATTACATGATGGCGCTGGCTCCGTTGTGGTCTGTGAAGGACAACTCCATATCAAAGAGAGTTGGCGTGTTCCCAGCTCCTTATCAGAGAAAGTTGGCGTGTCATTTTCTAGCACCCTGTGAGAAGGGTACACGTGGCAGCTTTGCATTGGGGTTCGAGGTGCTTTATTAAGGCTGGGAGGGGCATCCAATTATTATTCCGGGTAGTAGAAGAATCATTAGAAGAATGTCAAGGGCCTGAATAAACTGCTGAAAGAAGATTCCTGAGTCGCGTCTTCCTTGCGGGCAAGGGGGTCGTGACAATAATCCCTTCCTGCTAGGGTGGAGTTTACTTATTTGGGGACATGAGCCCATGGCAAACACCTGCTACTTTTCTAACTGTGGATGGCTGGATTCACAGAGAGGTCTTATACATTGTACTCCAATAAATCCCAACCCTGGCGCCAATAAAGGATTGCTTTAGCACTATAGGATATCAGGGGCTCATAAGCTTCAAACCAATAGGGATCTCTTGCTTTGACCTGTGAGAACCTTAGGAGGGGATGTCTTCAGGTCATTTAGTTTGAGTTTTAGATTTCAACATCATACTTAAAACACTCTCTGCTACTCAACCACAGACAAACAAAACAACAACAACAACAACAACAACAACACACATACACAATACAAGGTTGCTTTCTTATCTAAATGTTCTGTTACCGAGTGCTGGTTATGCTATGAATTCATATTTAGTGATGATAAACCAATTCTCCTGATGTATTTTAGGATTCACATTTCTCTCTGGGGAAAATGAAAGGATGAAAGCATCGATTCTCTCTGTCCCCTGCTACTCTCATGGCCCACAATCTCAAGTACAGAGGTGTGGTCTCCTAAGCATTGCTAGTTGGATAATGTCAGCAGGTTCTCTCTGTTCAGTTAAGCCAAATAATTTTCCCCAGAATGTCTCTGCTTCTGTTTGGGTATCATGAATATAAGATAGTGATTCTCATGATTCCTGCCAAAGACACCTTTATTCCTTTCAATGAGTGCTTGGTGGGCAAAATAAGAAGACAACCCCTTTCAGCTTATTCTGACTTAGGGGATGGCCTGGCAGCCACCACAGCATCAGTCTCTTTTCTCACTGAATGTACAATATTTTCCAGTACAAGTCTTGTGTTAAAAATCTGCTAGGGAATAGATTGTCTTTCATACTTCTTCATGGAGTAATCTCACTTTATAAGAAATAATTTTTTAAATGATTTAAAAGGAAAATGATAATTTGCATAAAGACTCTTTTGATATATTTTATTTTTTCCACATTTTTTATTGGTGCATTATAGTTGTACATAATGGTGGGATTTGTTGTTACATATTTGTACATGCACACAATATAACAATATAATTAGGCCAATATCACTTCCCAGCATCTCCCCTTTCTCTTCCCTCCTCCCTCCCCCTGGCCTCTCCCTTTCCTCTACTGATGCATGAAGACTTTTAAAAGATCAAAAAATGAAAAAAAAAAAAACAAAAAAAAACCCCAAAAAACAAAAAAACCCCCGTACGTGTTTAACAATGGGGGAACTGTTAATTCATTTTAATTTAATAATAGTAAAGAAAAATTACACAGTCATTAGATGTTATATTTATGAAGACCAAGTAGAAACACAGAAAAATGCTCATTATATAATATTATGACTAAAAAGATATTTAGATTGCAGCTATATAAAATTCATATGCAAATGGATAATGAGTGGAAAAGGATATGCAAAAATGAAACCACTGTGTAGGGGAGAAGGGATTATGGATCGATTTTATTTTCCAAACTTTCTGTGGTGTCATGTTTCTATAATAAGTAAGTTTAAAGAAAGTTTGTGATATGTACAGCCACGTATACTGGCAATGTATAAAAATGACTTCTTTGAATTCAGTATATTTAACTGCTATGGAAATTTAATTAACTTTCAAACAATACCACTTGAAAAAAGCAATCCAAAATTGCATAGCACATCTATTTGTATCAAGTACTGTGAATACTTTCTTTTTGAAAAAAAACTTCACACTTTCTTTTTGGAAAAAAAACACAAAAGAAGTAAAATCGAAATGTTAATATATTCAAGTTTACACAGCAGAACCAGAAAACTAGCAAACTGGCAATATTGATGCTGAAAATTTTTTTCTTTCCTGTCAGTGATAAACTTAAGAAACACAAAATCTGAATATAATGAGTCCAACTGTAAATCCAAGGAAACTGCCTCTTAAGGTAAAGTAGAAATGTCTTCAATCAAGATAGGAAAGATGATGATACCAAATTCTTTCAGAAAATATATCACTTACCTCTTTGGCTCTCTGTACTGCGTCGCTCGGAGGATTCCTGATTTGCGGTGAAGATTTTGTGTTAATTTTGTCATAGAGCTAAAAAGTAAGGAAGAGAATCCAATCAACACTCATAATTCTGTGCCACAATTCACAGCTTTGTATTTATTATTTCACTAAACAATGCTCTCCCTCTTAAAAAAGCAGGCTGCCGATTTCAGTGGGATCCTTTTGTTAATAATCTCTTAGTCATTCAATAAAACTTATCAGAATAGGAGTTTATATAGCTTTTTTTTTAAAGTCTTTAAATAGATGGACCAAGATTCTGTCAATGTGGCAATTTCCTTTGCATTTTAAATTTGTCAATATTTCAGCGATCCCAGGGCTTTTTGCCTCTGACAGAAGCAACATTCAATAACGTGAATACAGAGTAAAATGAAAGAACGCTTTCTGGCCAATTCCAGTCTGAAAGAATTTTCACAGAAACCTAAATCTTGGGAAAGGGCAAACCCAACTCCTTCTAGGAAGGAATGTTCTCACAAAAGGTTTATGCTTGTTTTACCAGGGCTGTTCAGTAACAGAATCAATGCTGGAGGAAGTCAAGGACATAAACTTTTCCTTTTGACTCTGTGAATTCAAAGAGTGTGAGAAGATTTTTAAAAGCTCACAAGCCTAAATGATCCAAAGTTATACTCTCGGAAGAACATTCATTTACTTCTTTAGAGAAAAACAATTTCTGTACTTTAGGAATGCAATTAAAATATATTCGTTTCTACCTCAAATGAAATGTCTCATAGTCAATAGTCTGCTTTGAAAACTGAAAAGTTAAAAATGACCTTGGCTAGTCTGAAAGCTTCTATTTCCTAACTTCTCTAAAATAGGTGGGGATTTTTTTTTTTTTTTTGTTGGTCTTGTTCTTTTCTTTCCTCATTTACTCTGCACACCAGTGCTAGTTGAGAGGTCAAATACTGACCGCAAACATTCTTCGAATTATAGTTAGATCTGTTTATACTGACACAAGCTAAAGCTTTATGACTTGTAAATATTTGGGTCATGCCACACATAAAACACCTGACATGAGCAATGTGAAGATAGAGCAGGAACCATTTTTAAATGATGTCATTTAATTAAGAAAGCACTACTAAACAGGAGGTTAAACAAATAGTATGAATAGACAAGTATTGCTGCTTTGCTTAAAATATTATATTAACATTTTAGAAAATGGTTGATAAGTGGCTGGTTCACAAAAGTTTGACCAAATCCCTTTAGATTATACATGGATGGTCTCTATCTTCTCAATGGTTTCTATTTCTAAAGATTGCCAATTTTGAATATAAGGAGGCTGATTCATAGTGAGTTAGGGAGGGGGAGCATGGGAGGAATAGACGAATTCTAGATAGGGCAGAGGGGTGGGAAGGGAAGGGAGGGGGCATGGGGTTAGAAATGATGGTTAAATGAGATGGACATTATTATCCAAAGTACATGTATGAAGACATAAATTGGTGTGAATATGAATATATTTTGTATACAACCAGAGATATGAAAAATTGTGCTTTTTATGTGTAATAAGAATTCTAATGTATTCCGCTGTCATATATAAATTTAAAAAAAATCAATAAAAATTTATTTTTTAGTTGTAAAAAAAGATTGCCAATTTTGAAATTTGGAACAAGGGAATATATTTTCTCATAGAAATAATGTTGTGAATAGTGTTTAGACTATTTCCTAGACTATAAAATAAATGAAATATTGTATATATATATGACATATATAATAAAAAATAATAAACCAAAGAAAACCAAACAAAACTCCCCTAAATCCTAAGTTAAAAAAAAGACATTTAAAATATATAACTCTAAGTTTAAAAAAACATACTTGGAAAGATGAGTCAGTTCCAGAAATGTGCTCTATGACATTCTGTCTACTGTTGACAATACTATATCGTACACTTAAGTGTTTAAGAGGGTAGATCTCATATTGTTCTTACCACAATAAAAATAAATAACACTTAAAAAAACAATTATCCTTTGCATGTCATAATATTAATGATCAAGCAAAGTTTTAAAAACCTAAATGAATAAAAAGATTTTTTAAAAATCTCAAAACTGTTTTAAAGCCTTAATTTAATTCAAAGCTTTATAAATACTGTCAGGGGGCTGGGGATGTGGCTCAAGCGGTAGCGCGCTCGCCTGGCATGCGTGCATCCCGGGTTCGATCCTTAGCACCACATACAAACAAAGATGGTGTGTCCGCCGAGAACTAAAAAATAAATATTAAAATTCTCTCTCTCTTTAAAAAAAATAAATACTGTCAGGTTTATATCTAATTTCATCACAAACTGTTCAGTTTTACCTTTTTCTTGACTGAGGACTGTTGTTACTAACACTACTTTCAACATTTTAAACTATAATTAGGATTAGTTTCCATTTATATATTAATTTTTACTTACAGAGCAACAAATATCCCACAACTCCCTAAATTGAAGACTTGATTTCTGACCTGGTTTTACTATGCCACGTACAATCCCCAAGGTCTTGTCAGTATAGTTTCTCCCCCCTTCCTTCCCCGCTCCCTTTCTCCCTTTCTTTCTTGCTTCTTTGTTTAGTGTTGAGGATTGAATCCAGGGCTTCATGTATGCTAAGCACGTGTCCTACCACTAAGCTACACCCCCTAGCCCCATATGTCAGTGCAGTTTCCTGAGGACTTGAGGTAGAATTGGCCGGAAGGCTTATGAAACGAACTTCCTGGGTCCCCTCCAGACCTGTTACATCAGAATTTGAGATAAGGTCCAGAAATCTATGCTTTAATAAACTCCTCAGGTATTTATAAAGATGTCCAGTGCTAATTTCTGAGATTAATAACAGTTGTCCGGGTTGAATACCTCTAATCTAAAAATCCAAAATCTAAAATGTGCCAAAATCCCAAACTTTCTGAATGCTGATCTGATTCCACAAAGTGGAAAATTTCACACCTGACCTCATGTGAGGGGTCACAGCCAAAACACAGGGGCACTAAAAATACTGCATAAAATTACCATAAGGCTATACATATACGAAACATAACTGAATCTTGTGTTAAGACTTGGGTCTCATCCCCAAGGTATCTCATTTCATTCCAATATCCAGAAAAATCCAAAATCCAATCCAAAATCCCAAGCATTTCAGATAAGAGAGACTCAATTCATACTATTAACAACAATGATAATTGTTACTTTTGGGGGACTTTACTGGGAATTGAACTCAAGGGGCACTCAACCACTAAGCCACATCCCCAGCCCTTTTTATATTTTATTTTGAGACAGGGTCTCACAGAGTTGCTTAGCAGCTCACTTTTGCTGAGGTTGGCTTTGAACTTATGGTCCTCCTGCCTCAGTCTCCAAAGCCACTGGGATTATAGGCATGCACCACCATGCCCAAACTGTTACTTTTATTGAGCATCCACTAGATGTTAGTTATTAGTCTAAGCTCTTAACATATATTCACTCATTTAACCTCACATGATTTCAAGAGGTTGGTACTTCTATTATTCCCATTTTATAGATGAGGAAACAGACACAGAAGAGTAAATATGAGAACCACTGTTCTAGCCTTACAATGTCTTCAGGGGTATCATACAGTTGGCCTAGAGAATCAGGCCTTGTTCTAAGAAAGGGTTTCAGATCAAATTATCTTCTGCTCCTTTGGTCTGGGCTAATTTAATCAAGTATTCATCTTAAGTTCAGTGGAACTGGTGGTAGGAAGAGGGAAATGCTTAAAATGAAAGGCAGATATAGTAGGAAGGAATTGAAAGGGATCTTCTATCTTAAAAAGGACATTGGGCTCTGCCCTACCTTTCAACTTCTAGGAAAGCACAAAGACTAGAGCTCTCTGGACAAGTACTGAACAGGGAGGATGCTGTCCATGCGGTTACATGGTGAATCTCAACTGCCTGCTCACTAACCAAAAGGGAAAGAGCCAAAGCAGGAAGGGATGCGGGAAGGGGCTTATTTCATTGCCATCACAGGAAAGAAGTGATCTCTTGTTGGCTTATCCATATACATAGCTATCCATCCACCCACCTGTCTGCCCATCCAATATTTATTGAAGTCCTATTGTGTACTAGGCAGTGGGATTCTATTTGCTGGAGTTTCAGAGATGAAAAAGAGAATTCTGGTCCCCTAAAGAGCTCACCAATTACAAAGACATATCTAACTAAAGGCCCCGAAACTTAGGATGGCTTGATCCCTTTGGACACCCAAGAGTAGTTTGGTCCCCAGCAATATCAACTGGAAATGATCTCAGTAGAGACTATCTGGATGTGTTTGTTTAATACACCAACCTTCATTTCCCTCTTTAATTTCTTGAATTATGTTTTTGTCTCAGAGACTAAACATAATTTTAGTCACATTTAAATAAATATAAAGCATTTGAGAAATGTGGCAGAGCAGGTCAATAAGTCATCAGTGAATGTAATGGAACATTAAAATGTTTTTAAAAAGTAAAATAAAGCATGGTGCTTTTGAGTTCTCATTCACATGGGTCATCCTTGTATTGCATGTTGCCAATAAGTTGATATGCAGGACTTGGAAGTTCAAATCCAGGTAGAGTTCTGCCAAGGTCGGAGGCAAGCAAAAGAGGTGGTTGGATTTTGAGCACAAAGGAAAGCTAAAGTTGATCTTTATTATCCTTTACCCTTCTCTCTCATTCCAACTGTATAAAAATAGACATGTACAATGATATGACTTGAGACCACATCTGTTGTCTTGGACATTTAGCCTAAAGCTAAGGCCAGCAGCAAATAAGTAGCACCAAATCTGCTAGAAAGTTGCCAGGACACTCCTCCAGGGCTTGTTGAAAGGCAGTCAAATGGTTCTTCCACATTCACCCCAGGGCTTCATTCTGCTTATAGAGGAAGAAGCCTGGAATTTGTAGGAGTCATAGGACTGAGGAGAACAAGTATTTTGATTTTCCCTTCTCCTTCTTCTTCAGAGGGAAGAAGAGGGAACTGTGTCCTTCATCATGTCAAGTGAAGGGTAGTGGATGCTCCAGAAGAACCATGAATAGGAACTGGAGGTGCCAGCAAAAAGAGCTCACTGCCTCATTCTCTGAAAGGTGATTGCT